TTTTTGGATCTGGTCTATTTGGTGTTCTTGTATCTTCATAGGCATATCTTTCTTTAGGTAGGGAAAGTTTTCTATGATTTTGTTAAATGAATTTTCTGTGCCTTTGAATTGAACTTCTTCTATACCTATTATTCCAAGATTTGGCCTTTTTATGGTGTCCCATATTTCATGGATATTTGGCGTTAAGCCTTTGTTAGATTTAATGTCTTATTTAACTGATGAGTCTATTTCCTCTCTTTTATCTTCAGCACTTGAGATTCTCTCTTCCATTTCTTATATTCTGTTGTTCATGCTTGCATATGTGGTTCCTGATCTTTTTGTCAAGATTTCTGTTTCTATAATTCCTTTGGCTTGTGTTTTATTTTTTTCTATCTCAGTTTTCAAGTCCTGAGTAGTTTCTTTTATATGTTTGAGTTCTTTTTCTTGGTTTTCTTTAAGTGATTTGCTGATATCTCCCAATTTTTTGTTTGTTTTTTCCTCCATTTCTTTAAGTTAATTTCTCATTTCATCTTTAAGAATTTCAAACATTCTCTTGAGGTTATTTTTTTAGATCATTTTCTTCCTTTTTTCTTTTCTTTTGGTTTTTCGAGACAGGGTTTCTCTGTGATTTTGGAGCCTGTCCTGGAACTAGCTCTTGTAGACCACACTGGTCTCGAACCCACAGAGATCCGCCTGCCTCTGCCTCCCAAGTGCTGGGATTAAAGGCATGCGCCACCACCACCTGGCTAGATCATTTTCTTCTGGTTCATCCATATTTGGTTGTTTAGATCTTGCTTTTGTATGGTCTTTTGGTTTTACTGAATGTGTATTTTGATTAAATCCATTGTCTACTCCCTCCCCTCCAACTCTTCCAAAACCCCTAGCTTTTTTTTCCCTCTTAATTTCTTGTGCTCTTTTTAAAAATCTAGTGAGTCCACTTAGCCTATGTGTGCACAGGTTAGGGCATCTGCTAGACCATGGGCAACCTCTCAGGGCTTGCAGCCAAAGAAAACTGACTCTCCTCCAGCAGCCATTACTTCCTAATACCTCTTCAGCTGATGGTATTGTGAGCCCCTCCTGCATCTGTTCTGCAGTTTTGACCAGTTTGGATTTGTGCTTGATGAAGTTGCAGCTTCACAGTCTCTGAGTGTCTGAGTGCTGAGGACGAAGCAGTGTGATGTAGATGCTGTATGTGGGACTGAGCATCCTACAGTCTTGAGTGCAATTTGCAAACGATAGGCTTAGTGATAAGATGTCATACTGTCATCCATGGTGGCCCTACCATTTTTATGTTCTCCCTTTTTTTTTTTTTTTTTTTTTTTTTTTGGTGTTTCAACACAGGGTTTCTCTGTAGCTTTGGAGCCTGTCCTGGAACTAGCTCTTGTAGACCAGGCTGGCCTTGAACTCAGAGATCCACCTGCTTCTGCTCCCAAGTGCTGGATTAAAGGTGTGTGCCACCACTGCCCAGCTTCTACATTTTTTCTTAATTCATGCATATTAATTATATATAGTAATAGGTTTCATTTCATTATGGCAATTTTCACACATGTATAAACTGCACTTTAGCCATATTTGTCCCCTATTATACTCTTTTGTCTCCTTTTTCCCACTAGTTCCCAGTTTACTTTCATACCCCTTCTTTTGGTGATCCAGTGAGTTTAATTAATCTTGCTTATAAGAGCACTGGTGAGAAATTATTTACAGCAGCTTAGGCAATTTACCATTGACTACACCACTGACAAATAAGTCTCTTCCTCCTCCATCAGCCACTGTCTGCCTCTAGCTCCTCAGGGAAGGGTAGAACCTCCTGGGCCCCTTTCCCTCCATTACAGACATTGTTGGGCCCAGGCTTGTGCGGTTTGTACATGGTGATCGCAGCTACTGTGAAGTCATGAATGTGACAGCCGTGCCATGAAGACAGCACTCCACAGCATCCTCTGTTCTTCCCCTTTCCATCCTGCTCCCTGAGCCTCACAGAGTAGATAATATCTAGGCCTCATTTAGGCCTGAGCATTTATTTATTTTTAGCGCTTTGGCCAGGTACAAGTCTTGGAAGTAACGTCTATCCATAACAAAAAGATAGATAGTATCACTGCTCTGTGGGCCTAAATAAATATACTTATAAGGTGATTTAATGGACATAGTATATTCATCCAGCAAAACAAAAGAGGGAGATTTCCCTACTAGGTATTTGATCTCCCCAGCCATGAACTTTTGACCACATTTATGGTATAAGTATGAATTTTCTCCCTGTGAAGCAGGTCTCACATCCAATCAGAAAGCAATTGGCTGTCTCCATAAAAGTCATGTCATTAGTGCACCAGTGGGCATATCTTTTTATTCTTCTCTCATATTACTTTACTACCTGACTAGAATTTCATCTTCCTCTACTCCCTTCCGCCATCATTCCCCCTACCTCCCCTCTCTCCCAGAACAACTCTTCCAGTTTTCCTTCTTTTTTAAAAAAGAAAAAAAGAAAAGAGTTCATCACCCAGGGATATCCACTGAACATGGTCTAACAATATATAATAAGACTGGGCATAAACCCTCATATCAAGGCTGGATAATGCAACCCAGTAGGAGGAAAAGGGCCCTAAGCACAGGCAAAAGAGTCAGAGACACCCTCCATTCCCACTGTTGGGAGTCCTATAAGCACACTAAGTTACACAACCATAAGATATATGCAAAGGACCTAGCACAGACCCTTTATGCATTTTTGAGTCGCTTCAGTCTCTGTGAGCCCCTAAGAGCCATGCTAATTGATTCTGTAGTGTTGGGGGAGGCTGCTTAGCCCCAAAATAATCACACAAAAACTGTATTAGTTAAATCAATGCTTGGCTCATTAGTTCTACCTTCTTATTGGCTAACTCTTACATCTTAATTTAACCCATCTCCATTAATCTGTGCATCACCACGAGGTCGTGACCTACCAGCAAAGTTTCAGCAGGTCTGTCTCTGGTGGCTGTTCCATGGCTTCTCTTTTGACTCTACCTTCTTCCTCCCAGCATTCAGTTTAATTTTCCCTGCCTATCTAAGTTCTGTCCTATCAACAGGCGAACACAATTTCTTTATTCATTAATGGTAATCACAGCATACAGAGGGAAATCCCACACTGTAGGTCATGTTCTCATGGTGTCATTGGCCCCTTTGGCTTCTCTCCTGCAATCCTTTCTGCCCATTTCTGCAGGGTCCCCCTGGCTCTGCCTGGTGTTTGGCTATGGGACTCTCCATCTGCTCCAGTCAGTTGCTGAATGATGTGCGTCTGATGACAGTTGGGTTGGGCACGAATCTATGAGTACATCAGAATATGATTAGGAATGATTTCATAGACATTTTTTCCCAGTTATATTTAGTTCTGTCCTGGGTCTCTGGACTGCCCTGCCTCTGGTTCTTGGCCATCCAGACAGTATCAGACATAGGCTCCCTCTGGTGGCATGGACCTCAAGTTGGACTAGTCATGGGTTGGCACATCCTTTTTTTTAAAACTTATTTAAATTTATTTTATGTGCATTTGGTGTGAAGATGTCAGATGCCTGGAGTTGGAGTTATAGACGGTTGTGAGCTGCCATGTGGGTGTTGGGCATTGAACCTAGGTGGTCCGGAAGAGCAACCTGTGATCTTACCTGCTGAGCCATCATCTTTCTAGCCCTAGTAGGCACATCTTAACCAAAAGGTTGGTAGTGAAACTTATTGGGCTCATGGTTGAGTAAAATTGATAACTTTTCTCTTCTACAACCTCTGTAGCACCTTCTAGTAATGTGGAAACTAGTCATCAAGGAAGAAGCTTCTAGTCCCCACCCTTTACAGAGATTTTGGGGTTAATCTTAAATTATGTATATTTGTGTGATTGTATGTGGATTTGTGCATGTGAGTGCAGTGCCCACAGAGAGTTGTGAGCTGGTTCATAGAAAGTGGAAGGGTAGCTCAGATCCTTTCAAGTCTTTTCAGTCTTAGGTGGGTGGAGGTAAAGGTGGATAGACCTTGCTCTAGAGATAGCAGTGGGCTTCATGAGAAATAGAGATAGGATATGCTTCATTGGATTGTATATCAGGGCTGAATAAAGAAGGAGGGGACCAAAAGTAAGTTCACACTTTCTAGACTGAGTGAAAATATTAGCTAGTAGCAGGTTCACAGTTTAAATTTGAAATGTCTACTAAGAATCCTAAATGTTGGTATTAGATACTATATTTGAGTTCAGAGTAATTTGAATAGTTTCATATTCACACTAGTTTCAAATGCTTCATTTGTGGAAACTTCATATTTCTTGCTTTCCCAGTGTCTTAGTCAGTGGACTATTGCTGTGAAGAGACAAACATGACCATGACCACTCTTCAAAAGGAAAACATTTAGACATACATGGATCTGATCTGCATGGGAAGTAGAAAAAGACAAGATCTCCTGAGTACATTGGGAGCATGGGGATTATGGGAGAGGATAGAAAGGGAGGGAAGCAGAGAAAAATATATAGCTCAATAAAAACAATTTTCAGAAAAGAAAAACATTTAATTGAGGCTGGTGCACAGTTCAGAGGTTTTAATCCATTATTGTCATGGTGGGAAGCAAAGCAGCATACAGGCAGGCATAATGCTGGAGAGGTAGCTGAGAGTTCTACATCCCGACCAATAGGCTGCAGGAAAAAAGGAAGAGACACTAGGTCTGACTTGAGTATTTGAAACCCTAAAACCCACCCCCAGTGACACTTTTCCTCCAATAAGGCCACATCCATTCCAGTGTCCTAATCCCTGTCAAATAGTGCTACTCCCTAATGATCAAGCATCTAATTATATGAGCCTGTGGGATCCATTCTTACTCAAACCACCACACCAAGCATGTATATCAGATGAATTAAATTAATTATGTTGAATTAAATTGACAGTCAGTGCACTTAGGGAACTTGCTATTAAGACAAAAAGTATTTAATTTTTTTGTATAAGATCAATGAATTTGTCCTATAGTAAATTTTGTTTATATACCTGTGTTTACTTTGAGATGCAACTTTGTGTTGTTGTTTTGTTTTGCAGATCCTGTGCCTGGTGTAGAAGTAGAAGAATTCAGCTGGGAGGATTATCTAGACGAGACAGGCTCCACCACAGTTCCCTATGCATCGTTTAAACATGTAGGCAACACCTCTTGACTTTTTTACTTTTTTCTCCTGGGACAGGGTCTCACTTTGTAACCCTGGCTGTGTTGGAACTTGCTGGGCTCAGATTTAGAGAGATCAATGTGCTTTCCCCTACTGCTGAGAATAAAGATGTTTGCCACCATGCCTGGCTTACCCCTTTTCTTTTAATCTTTGTATTGTGTCTTAGTCACTTTTCTACTGCTGTGACAAAGCACCATAGCCAAGGCAGCTTACAGAAAGAACTTGTTGGAGACTCAGAATTTCAGAGGTCTGTGATTATTGTGGTGGGGCAGCAGGTAGGCTAAGAGCTCATATTGTTGAGACAACAACCATGGGGCCGAGAGAAAACTGAGAATGGTGTGGGCTTTCGACACGTCAGAGCCTATCCCAGTGACACACCTTCTCCAACAAGACCACATCTCCTAACCCTTCCCAAACACTCATAGCAGCTGGGGTCCTTTAGGGAGCAGTCTCATTCTAGCCAGTAGGCCTCTAGCCATAGCAGAATGCAAAATGCATAATGCATTAGTTCACCTTCAGAGCTTCACAGTCTTTGAGTCTCAGGACTGTTTAAAATCCAGTTTCTTCTGAGACTCAAGTCAATCTCTTAATTTATAACTCTGGATAAAAGCAAAAAGCAAATTACATACTTCTGATGTACAATGACAGGAAATACACATTACCATTCTAAAAGGGAGGAAAGGAGGCAGAGTAAGGAAATACTGACCAAGCAAGGTTGAAACCTAGCAGGACAAATTCCAGACCTTGTTGTTCTGTGTCTGATATTAGGGCTTAGATGGCTCTGTCCTTCCAGCTTTGTTGCCTCCAACATCCCTCCCTTGGGCTGGTTCCACTCTCTGTTTGCAGTTGTCCTTGGAAGATATCCCATAGTTTTGGCGTCTTTACCATCTTCGGGCCCAGCACATTTTTTACTTTCACAGTGCTCTCTCTGGGCCTGCCCTACACCTGGCCTCAGCAGCGTTGCCTAACCCCTGAGGGATGCTGTTTCTGTGACCCCTTTACTCCTTTATCCTTCTTGACTCTAAAGCCAGAGATAGATGGCAGATGCCTCTAAATTCTACTGCCACCTGGGATGGGCCCTGGCCTCCTGGCCCCTTCTTGAGTTATATTTTCATAAGCTTTGATTTGCAGTTGTTTTTTTTAGGAACAGATAATTCCTTAGGCCAGTGGTTCTCAACCTTCCTAAAGTTGCAACCCTTTAATACAGTTCCTGGTGTTGTGGTGACCTCTCCCCCACCCCAGCCATAAAATTATTTTCGTTGCTACTTCGTAACTGCAATTTTTGCTACTGTTATGAACTGTAGTGTAAAATCTAATATTCAAGATATCTGATATGTAACCACTGTGGAAAGGTCATTCAGTCCCTAAAGGGTGGTGATCTGCCAATTGAAAACTGCTGCCTTAGGCCTTTTCACAAGTTTGATTCAGGTTTAGCTGTCTTGCCCTGAGGGCACCACTCCCTTTATTCCATTTCTCCTTATTCTTTCATCACAAACCATGGCTTCAACATTAAATTTCCTCGTGCTCTTTCGCCTTAAACTATATATTTTGTATTTCATTTTGCCTTGTTTGATTTTTTTCATTGTGAATCTGCATATGAGCAAATACATATAACAAGCAACAGAGTCAGTATCTGACTGTCTTGAACTCTCCTCTGCCAATGAAATTAGTCAAAAACTCTTACATTTAGTTTCAGGAATATTCTTAGGACAAGAGCAAAATGCAGCCATGAGAATGTGCCAAGATATTATAAGAATGGTCTCTATCCCAGTTGATAATATTGTAACCTCCGAAACCTCTTAGAGTGGGGCCTCTATAGTTCACATTGGTCCTTAGTGCTGTTGTCTTTTAAGCTCCTACTAGTATACCCAGTAAGTAAGCCCTGTTTTTAGCATTCAACCACTTTCCTAGTCCAGAGTCCCAAAGTCTTCCCTATTCCACAAAAAAAGTATGGTTAGACCTGTCATAGCAACACCTACTCGCTGGTACCACTTTCTACATAAGTGAACTCAGAATTCTTTTAAGTTAGGGTGTTTGAGCCAGGCGGTGGTGGCACATGCCTTTAATCCCAGCACTCGGGAGGCAGAGACAGGCGGATCTTTGTGAGTTTGAGGCCAGCCTGGTCTACAGAGCTAGTTCCAGAACAGGCTCCAAAGCTACAGAGAAACCCTATCTTAAAAAACAAAACAGAAAAGTTAGGAAATTTGAAAAAAAAATGTAAATGATTTTCCCTTTTCTTTCTTCCTGCTATCATCATCAAGAAAATTTGCCCTTTTTGCAGGGTGCGTGTGTGAACAGTGTACACTGAGACAGATGTGTGAAAACAGGAAGCCTGGGACTGGGAAGACAGCCCAGTCAATACAGTGTTTAATTTACAAGTATGAAGACCTTAATTCAGATTTTTGGAACCCCCATAAAAAGGGCATAACGGCACACCTGTAATCCCAGTGCTTGGCAGATGAATAATAAAAATGCAGAGTTAACACTGTAAGAAAGAATGTTTTGGTTTTTGGGGATGCTTTTCAGTGATGGGCAGTATTTTTTACACATTCAGTTTTGCAGGGTTTTTTAATTGTGAGGAATGGGGTGAGGAGAGAGGAACATTGGGTAGGTTTGTTTTTATATTTGAGGCCCATTAGGGGAATGGTAAAATCATGAAAAACACATGTAATAATGTGGCTCTGTGTTCAGAATATTTTATTTTTTCAACAAAATTTCCCTGGCACTGTAAGTGAGGATTGAGATACTGCATAATACCTGTAGATAATTGTGCCAAACCCACAAATGAAGGGGCTCTACCTGAGCTCAGCTTTCCCAAAGGAAAAAGCCTATGCTACCAAGTGGCCACTTGGGAGATGGAGACTCATTGAAAGGAAGTCTTTTATTGAAGAGTAGACAGAAGCAGACCAATCTATCAGTAGTACTAATTCTTAAAATTAGAGAAAAAACTTATTTCAATTTGTCCAGTAAAGCCCCTAGCTGAGGCATTCCAGGAGACTCTGCAGGCTGTTGGGCTGTGGGTGGTAGGAGAGGAAGAGGAAGAGCATACTCTTAGGATAGAAACTCAAGTATCCTTGGTTTTTGAACTTTGAAATTCTTTTTTTTTTTTCTTTTCTAAAACAGCAGGAGTCTCTGTGTAACATCCCTAGTTTTCCTAGAACTAGCTCTTTAGACCAGGCTGGCCGTGAACTCACAAAGACCCGCCTGCTTTTCCCAAGTGCTAGGATAAAGGTGTGTGCCACAACAGCCTGGCTGAACTCAGAAATTCTTATTGGTACAATTCAGTTGTGGGCAGCACAGATTTAATTGACTCTGTTTAAGGGTTGAATGACTTACAGTGCCCTGGTTTCAGGAAATTCCCTGCATATTGGAGTAGTGGTTCCCTTGGAAATACAGAACAGAATCCTCAGAAGGAGCATGCTCTGTCTCGAGTCTTGAGACTCATCAGTTCTTAGCATGGTAGACCCATCCTAGAGTGACAGTGTAAAATCTGGTGAATGAAAAGACAAAAACCAAGTTTTGAATGTAAGCTTCACACTATATTGTAACTTTTAATCATAAGAAAACTAGATTTTTTTTTTTTAAAAAAAAAAAGCAACAGCAACATGGAACTTTGTTTGGCTTATTTTAGGACTTCATTTTCATTTTTCTAGTGTTTTTGACTACATTTCCATTATTTTAAGTTTTACATTTTTGCTTATTTGCGTGCATGTATTTGTTCGGGTGTGCCACAGTGCCTGCCTGGAAGTCAGAGGACAGCTTGCTGGAGTTCTCCCAGGGATTGAACTCGGGTGAACTTAGTGGCAGGTACCTTTATATCCCACCCACCTTATTTGCTTCGTTTGTCACAGCGGAGTCTCCTTTCATGAACTTGGCTCTTTTAAAGAATATATATTATATGTCAGTTATTTTGTGCAGTATTTTTTGATTTGGGAAACTTTCCCCTTATTAAACTGTGTATATTCAGATATGTCAAGCATGCCAAAGGAAATACAGTCCTTTTCTTGTATGTAATCCAGCATATGTATGCAATGGTGATATTGATGTTTTAGGAGTTATATTAACTTTGATAAATTTAAAGTGATATATGCCATTTTCTTCATTGTATTGTTACTGTTTTGCCTTTTGCAGCTGATAAGAATCGTATAGAGTGATCCTCTGAGATTATGCAAATACTGTTTTTCATCATAGTAGTTTTAGCATCTATCAATAATTCTTGCTTGCTGTGCATATTTATATGATGCTTGTCTGATGACAATTATTTTCATTTTACTTTTTGTTTTTTGAGATAATTTCATTATGTAGTCCAGGCAGGCCTCCTGCCTAAGTCCCTTGAGTACTGGGACTGTTGTTGGGAACCACCTGCTGATATTTTCCACCATTTTGTTCTATATTTATCTTTTGATTTGCAACTGTGACCATTGGGAGATCCTTTTAGCTATCTTGTGTTTCCTTTTAACATGCCCCATACTTTTTTAATTGTTTCTGTTTGACATCACAAGATGTTTGAGACTCCTACTTTATTTTTATTTTTCCAGAATTGTAACTAGTAGTTTCTCCATGATCCCTTGCTTTTATTGATTGCAAGATGATATAAAAACTATTTGGGCACTAAATACGTTCAGGGTTAAGAAATACACATGCACTTTTGTCCACATTGCTTTCCTATCAGTTCATGTTTTTATTTAGATTCTTCTGATTCCAGTCTACAATGACAGGATTTACTCCAGTCTTCCCTCCCCCTTTTTTGGGGGTGAGATTAGATAGTGTGTGTGTGTGGCTTTTCGAGACAGGATTTCTTTGTGTAGCCCTGGCTGTCCCACAAAGCCAGTGCTTTGTAGACCAGGCTAGCCTTGAATTTAAGGAGATCTTCCTGCCTCTGCCTCTCAAGTCCTGGGATTAAAGGTGAGTGCCAGCACATCCACCCCCTGTCCTTTTTTTTGAATTTGTAACTACTCCCACAGTACTTTTATATTACTTAATATAGTACTTAATTTTAATGTACTTAAGAATTGCTAACCCATACCTTTGTCACCATGTAACTTTTCGTCTACATTGGAACACTTTATTATAACAGCTGACAGAAGTGTGGACTTCCTGCAAATATTGTACATAATAATACTAATACTGCTGATTTATATCTTTATACTTTTTTCATTTCCCTGTTGTGGTTATCTGAAACCTTTTGTTGTTGAGTGATATAGAAATCTTGAAGACATGTTGAAGGATATGAAAATGTGAATGTTTAGTAATGTATTACTTTCTAGAAGATACCTTCTATCATCATAATAGACTGGCTGTGTTGTTGAAAATAGCAAGTTCTATCACTGCCATGTGGACAGAGCCCTGTGGCTACTTCTGGTTTTTTGATTAGTGTTATGAGTTATAATTAGAATTTCTCAGGTTTCCTTTGAGAAGGTTTTATAGGCATTTAGTGCTTTGAAAATTTTAGATCTTAAAAAAGAATTTGGGCAGAAAAACACTCATGAAATACATTTTGTCTGGTGGCTAATAACATTTCTTTTTTCAGGTGGACATACGTTTGCAAAATGGCTTTGCTCCTGGGATGAAGCTTGAGGTAGCTGTGAAAAAAGATCCCGAAACTTACTGGGTTGCCACCATCATTACTGCCTGTGAGCAGTTACTTCTACTCCGTTATGAAGGCTATGGTGAAGACCGGAAAGCAGACTTCTGGTGTGATATCAGGAAAGCTGGCCTCTATCCCCTTGGTTGGTGTGAGCAGAATAAGAAGACCCTTGAAGTTCCAGAAGGTAGTAGCATATTCCCTTTCAAGGTGTGATAGGATATTGTTGTAAGAAAATTTAGATTGGCCACAGTCTTGAGGCTTGTCAGGCTACTCCTATGTAGATTACACAGCGTTTTAGGCGAGGCTAACTTTTGTTTGTTTCTTTGTTTTGTTGTTTTTCGAGACAGGGTTTCAAGAACTGGCTTCAGTCCCTACTAATATACACACACAAGTACAAGGAACTGGCTTCAGTCCCTGTTAACACACCTATGCACACACTGAGAAGACAAACAAAACAAAACAAAACAAAAAATCAGAACAAAAACGGGGGGCAATGGGACAACGGGTCACCATGAGGAAGCAGCCAGTGAAAACAAATTCTGAAAAATGATGTGCTAAGAGGCTGTGTGTCTCAGTAAGTGTTCTACCAGAAAGTTGAGGGAAGGGAAAGAGAAGATTGAACCTACAGATAAAAGAAGTTTTGATATCAAATTGTTTGCAGTGCATGTTTTTTAAAGTGGTTCCCAGTGAGATCAAAAAAGTTAAAAATCATTTTTGATATAATTGAGGAAGTTTGTATGTAGACTAGACATTTACTTTTGAAGAATTACTAATTTGTTATAAGCATAATGTTCTGGTTTTGTAAGAAGTTATTTTGGGGTTAGAGAGTTGGCTCAACAGTTAAGAGCACTGGCTACTCTTCTTTAGGACCCAGGTTCAATTCCCAACATCTATATACCATCTAGCAAGCCTATAACTCCTGTCCCAGGGGATCCTACAACCTCTCTTGGTGTCTCTGAGCACTGCATGTTCATGGTGTAGAGATATACATTGAGACAACTACTCACAAGTATAAAGAAATTTAAAGTTATTTCATGAATATTTTGTGAAATATATATGGATGAAATTATATGATGTTTAAAATTGGCTTCTAATTAGTTCTTGATTGGGTAGCAGTAAAATTTGTGAGGGTATGGGCCAGGGGTTGGTAAATGATCTGCTCATGCTCAGGGCCAGATAGTGAATGCGTTAGCTGTCACTCATATGGTCTCCGCCATAGATACAGCATTCTACCCTTGTAGTGTGAAGCTGGCTGCTACATCAGTAATCAACATGGCTATGTGCCAGAAAAGTGTTATTTATAAAAAGCAGGTCTGAGTTAGCCCACAAGTGACAGTTTGCTAACTCTTGATCCAGATAAAACATTTGGGCATGAGGCGACAGTTGTTGAAGCTATGTTGCATGAAGATTCATTGTACCTTTTTCTGTGTGTGTTTTTTGTTGTTGTTACTGTGGGTTGTTTTTGTTTTTGAGACAGGTTTTTATTATGTAGCCCTGACTGGCCTGGAACTTGTGGCTGGAGCACATATAGATCTGCCTGCCTCAGCCTCCCCGCTTACAAGCAGACATCATCACACCCAGGCCTCTTTCTGTATTTTTTTACTCATGTTTGAAATTTTTTATAATAAAAATGAAGTAGGATTTATTTATTTATTTATTTATTTATTTATTTATTTATTTATTATGTATACAATATTCTGTCTGTGTATATGCCTGCAGGCCAGAAGAGGGCACCGGACCTCATTATAGATGGTTGTGAGCCACCATGTGGTTGCTGGGAATTGAACTCAGGACCTTTGAAAGAGCAGGCAATGCTCTTACCCTCTGAGCCATCTCTCCAGCCCAGGAATTTTTTTTTTTTTTTATAACATTAAGTAAGGGAATTATTTTGTGTACAACTGATAGTCTCTGTTTTAGATACAGTTCTTATTGAGCCAGAGAGTAGCTGCCTTAATTTGGTTTCTATTGATATAATAAAGACTATGGCCAAAAGCAATTTGAGCAGGAAAGGGCTTATTTGGTATTCATGTATATCTCTGGCTATACTCCATTAAGAGAAGCCAAGACAGGAACCGAAGCAGAGGCAATGGAGGAACATTGTACTGTCTTGCTCCCCGTGGTTTGCTCAACTGGCTTTCTTATGTACCTCAGGACCACCTACTCAGAGGGGTTGCCACCCATAGTGTACTGGGCTCTCCCACCTCTGTCATCAGTCAAGAAGATGCACCACAAACTTGTGTACAGGCCAGTGTGATGGATGCATTGTCTCAATTGAGGTTTCTTCCCAGATGACTCTAGCTTGTACCAAGGCGACAAAAAACTAACTAGCACATGGCTCAGTGAAGAATGAGGACATTTTGTAGCTATTTCGTTTTGTCTTTTCAAGCGCTCAAAAAGAGATTTTTAAGTGATTAGCCTACCCTTAAGTCATTTCTATATGTCAGGTTTCTTTGTGTTCAGTGGCTGACATGAATAATAACTACTTCCTCCCTTGTTTAGGCATCCGACATAAGGTGTCTGATTGGGGTGCATTTCTACAGCAGACCCTGAGAGGAGCCTGTGGTCCTCCTGTGTCTTTGCTAGAGGGCGTGAGTATCAGTGCTTCTTCAACCAGTATGGAAAACTTTTGCAAGGAATCCAAAACTGATAGCTCATTTACTGCGAGGAGGAAAAGAATCATTGTTATTAGAGTCATAAGCATAGGGATCGGAACATTTAAATGTGGTATCAGAAGTTGTACTTTGGTGGCGTGTTTAGTGCCTGAGAAGCTTCTCAATCAGTTGCCAGTTAAGGTTCTGCTGATAGATATTTCCATGTTTCAAACAAATTAAAAAAAAATATACTTAGATTAATTTTTTATCCTTGCCCAGGGCAATAAAAATAATAAAATGAATGGATGATAAGGTAGATACATTATTGCTCACATAAATACAAAATATTAAGAACAGTTTAAAAGCTAGGGAAGCTGACATCTGCTCTAATAAAAAGATTTCTGTAATCTAATAAGTGAAAAACAGCATATGATTTGAAAAAAAGAAAAAAACATAGCAAAGAGAAGCAGAAGTAGATATTGGCTTGGGTGTAGTGTTTATACCAGCTACTCTCTGTGGTCTCTTCAGGTCTTTAGGATTATAAAAGAGGGTAGGCATGTTTGATTTTCTCTTTAATGATGGTCTTATTTGCTTTCATAATCAGAGACAAGATTCTATTTTTAAAACTATAGTAAATGAAATAATAATTAGAGATATTTGTTAAAACAATTTTGTTGTGTTATAAGTAAGCTTTTCTTTATGATAAACATTTTCATATCATCCAAAAGTGATATTGTGGGAGGCCATCTATAGACAATGTAATTTAATCCACTGTTGTAGGTTGAGTAAAACAGTATGAAGACTAGTTTCACAAAATTTAGAACTTGAATTTTAAGAAGAAACATGAATCTCTCCAATTTCACGTTTTTAACCTGTAGCTCCGTAATGGAAGGAATCCTTTAGATCTCATTGCTCCTGGGTCCAGACTAGAATGCCAAGCTTTTCGAGACTCCTTAAGCGCTTGGATTGTTACTGTCGTGGAGAACATCGGGGGACGGCTGAGGCTGCGCTATGAAGGACTTGGAAGTTCTGACAAGTTTGAACACTGGTTGTACTACTTAGATCCGTTTCTTCATCACATTGGTTGGGCTGCTCAGCAAGGATATGAACTTCAGCCCCCGTCAGGTAAAGAGTGACATAGCACTTTTATATAAACTTCTGTTATTGTTTTATTATTAATATCTGTAAGGGTGAAAAATATATTCTACATACTATGAAAACATTTTTGTTTTTGCTTTTCTAGACAAGGATTTCTCTGTGTTGCTCTGACTGTCCTGGAACTTGCTCTTAGACCAGGCTGACCTCAAATACATAGAGATCCATCTGTCTCTGCCTCCTGAATGCTAGGATTAAAGGCATGCGCCACCACCGCCCAGCATGGAAACCTTTCTTAATTTACATAATACAAAGCAGTTGCATTAAGTATGTATTTTTCTTTGATTTTGTTATTACACTTATAGTTTAGCATACATTATTGACTATACCTCAGACTCTTTCCCTTACCAATATTTTACTTGCATCATTACTGTGTAGTCCAGTTTGGGTATTTATTGTATTATTTCATGGGCTGCAGCATTACATCTGCTCTTACTGTAGTTATTTTAACAAACTTTAAGTTTTGACCTCTTAAATAGAATACTGAGATTCGAATACAGGTTATTTTGTATGAAGGTGGACCTGAACTCCTCGCCCCTAAAAGAAAAAAAAAAGCTGGCATGGAGGTGCATGCCTTTAATCCCAGTACTGGGGAGGCAGAGGTAGGAGGATCTCTGAGTTGGAGGCCAGCCTGGTCTACAGAGCAAACTCCAGGAGAACCAGCATTATATTGAAAAACCCTCTTTTGGGGGGAGTTTGGTGGTGGAGGGAGAGTAAACCTAAACCATTTCCTAATCCATAGTAGAAAGTAATTCTGTTTATGGAATGCTTTCAGAAGTTAAAACATCTATAGGTTTTCTCCTCTTAAATCATGCTATTTTGTCTCACTAAAGAAATCAGGCATCTGAAAAATGAAGCTGATTGGCAAGAGATTCTGGCCAAAGTAAAAGAGGAGGAGGAAGAGCCATTACCTTCTTATTTATTTAAGGTAAAAACAGAAACTCATGATAAATACAAGTTTTACCATATAGTAGAAAATAACACTTAGGGGAGGTAAAGAATGGGAAGGAACCACTGGAGGCAGGAGAGCGCTGCAGCCTGCGGTGTGGGAAGGAGAGGTCAGACAGCAGGGATGCTGATCATCCTCTCTCGAGGTCCTCTGAAAGCTGTCTGGATGTCTTCTTTTCCAGTTAGCTACATAACTTTAACTAGTTAGGAATAAATATGTTTTTTTCTTCCAGATGCCCATTACATTGCAGACATTGAGAGGAATGCTTTACAATGAGTTGTTTTGTCCTGAGTAGATTTTCCCAGGAAGAGAAGTAGCAAGATTTACCAGAAGCTTAGCGGCTCTGTTATTTTCATGAACTAGATTACCTTTCCTGTACTGTGATGAACCACCCATGACAAAAGCAGCCTAAGCACTGAGAGGGCTTGTTTTGACTCATTGAAGGGATGTAGACCATTGTGACTGAGAAGCCTGGAGATAGGAGCTTGAGGTGTCCCTTCACAGTAAACATGCAGTCAGCAAGCAATGGGAAATGCGTGCTGGTGCTCAGCTCATTTCTACTTTTTTACCCAATCCAGGACCGTAGTTCAGAGGGTAATATTCTCCACGTTCAGAGTATATTCTTCCCTCCTTGTTAAACCTCTCTGGAAATGCCCTCAGAGACACACCCAGAGCATGTCACCTAGAGGACTCCAAATTCAGTATAGTTGACAGTGAATATTAACCATCACAAGTATTTAACTACATATGCACATAAATTAATTCAAAGGCACTATATTTTTACTCTTTTTGTTGTATATATTTCAGGATAAGCAAGTTATTGGAACCCATGAATTTTCTGTAAATATGAAATTGGAAGCTGTGGACCCATGGTCTCCTTTTGGGATTTCTCCTGCTACAATTGCTAAGGTGAAGTGGGAGTTATTCTGGGAAGAATTGCCCTCAGGGTAACTACTTGAGGAAATGATGGTGGTTTGATCTTTAGGCCATCCTAATACAGTTCACTCTGAAGCCAGAACTTCTTCTGTATTTGTATTGTATTGCCCAGTTTTTTTGTGTGCCATTTCTTCTTCAGGTCTTAGTCTTGTACAGCCAGAGCAGAGCAGTCAGGGCAGCAGAGTAGGAGAAGGAAATGTTCTTTAGAGGCAAGCCTTCCTTTGTGTAACTAGAAGACTTAGGGCCACAGTGTTCATAAAGTGTGAATCCAGGCAGTGCCATCACGCATCTAACCAGGGAAGGGTTTGGGGACATAGAGATTGGGGTCACAGAGTTAGCATCACCACTAGGATAGCTACAGCTGTGTGTTCTGGAGTCAGACTGCTATCTCTCCAACAGCTGACAAAACTAAGGTTCTTGTTAAGAGTAACCACAGGAGCTGAGCACATTGTTAATTATGTCAGTTGTGCAGTTACTGTGTAATAGAGAGTATTTAGTTTAGGACTAGAGTAGAGCAGGACCCCATTTTCTGTAAGTAGAGCCCAAGGTGGATTATAACTATGGGGATAATTACTAGGATGTTTAGTTATCTGACTTGATGAGATTTACATTTTCTTTGTTTTAGTGGAAGATTATTTTTAGAGCTATGAGAGATTCTTGATCCTATAAGTAGTCTTAAGACCTCTGAAAGCTGGAGAAATGGCCCGGTGGTTTAAGAGCTTTTAACAAAGGACTAGTTTAATTCCCAGCACCCAAATCAAGTGCTTTATAACCACTTGTAATTACAGTTTCATTTAGGGCCTTCCCTCAGCACCTACACCCATAGACACACATGTAAATAAGGGAATAAAAATAAATCTTTAAGACACATACACAAAGAAAGAGAGAAAGAGAGGTAGATATAGACCTGACATGACACCAAGACCCACCAGCCTTCTCTGGAGTCTGAAGAGACACAGAGGATAATTGTGGACTTCTCACTTTCGCATTTGATGTTAATATAGTAATGTAGTTGACCCCTTACTAAGCTTAAACTAAATTTTACTTGGAAGCCAAATAATTGGTTTGAATTCAGGTTTTAAAAAAAAGTTTCTTGATCATGTAACCTGTGGTAAATTACTTTACTTTTCTTTGAATTTATCTTCCTTACCATTTATCTATCTTATCATTCCTGAAAAATGGAATTGAAAATGGTACCTACCACTGGGTGGTGATGGCACACTCCTTTAATCCCAGCACTCAGGAGCCAGAGGCAGGTGGATCTCTTTAAGTTCGAGGCCAGCCTGGTCTACAAAAGAGAGCAAGACAGAGAGAGAGAGAGAGAGAGAGAGAGAGAGAGAGAGAGAGAGAGAGAGAGAATGGTACCTACCTCATTAGATTGTTACAAAAAGTAAAACTGAGTAAATATATGAAAGATATTTAACTAAACTAGTTCCTGATGTAGAATATTTTATATAACATTTATTGAATATTTTAATAACTCAGTGTCAGTGTAAATGAACTTATGTAACATGTTTGTGCTAAGGAAAGTACAGATCTATTTGTGATAGATATGTGTGTGTATGTACCTAATATGTATTATATACATAATATAAAAAATCCATTTGTCAGTTTTATCTGTTAATTATACAGGTTTTTGATGATAAGTACTTTCTGGTGGAAATGGATGATCTTCGATCAGAAGACCATACAAGGCGGTCATTTGTGTGCCATGCTAACAGTCCTGGTATCTTTCCTGTGCAGTGGAGTCTAAAGAATGGTTTACACATCAACCCTCCTCCAGGTACGCATTTGAGTTCTTCTGTGTTGTTTCTCAAAATTATTATTATCATAATTAATTATGTAGGGTCTCTCTATGTAGCTGAGTGTGTCCTCAGACTTACTGTATGACCCATGCTGGCCTTAAATTCCTTATCTACCTGACTTAGCTTTTGAAATATATGTTGGATGCCATTGCTAAGACCTTTTATACCTTCTGTCCAAGATAAGGTGATGAGATGTAGATTCCATAATTTTATTTGTTTATTGAGGAAGAGTCTTACTATTTGGCCTGCCTGGCCTGGAACTTGCTATGTGGACTAGGCTAGCCTTGAACTCACAGAGAAGAACCTCCTGCTTCTGCATCCTGAGCACTGGGACTAAAAGAGTATGCCACCACATCCAGCTCATTCTGTAATATTTGAAGTCACAAGCTGAAGTGATAGTTTTTTTTTTAATTTTTTTTCATACTTTTACATATATTTGTATAGGCAGCCAGAAGGACAGGCTCAAGTCTGGATTCTGTTCTGGTTCCCTACTCTGTTCATTGGAATCTGTTGGGATGTCACAGCAAGATGGGTGTCTGTTTTGCTTCTCTTACTGGGATAAGTCATGGACCAAAGCAATTTTTGGAGAAGAAATGTTTTTTTCATCTTATTCTTAAAGCCTGTCACTGAAGGGAGTCCAGGCTGGAGCTCATGGCAGACACTGAAGTAGACTACGTAGAAATTCTGCTTAGTGATATGCTTCTTATGGCTTGCTCAGGCTTGCTCTTTTATACAACCTAGGACCACCTGCCCCAGATGACGACCCCCACAGTAGACTGGGCCTTCCCACATTAATCATTAATCAAGAAAATGCCTACAGACTCTCCCACAGGATAGTTTGATGGAGGCAGTCTCTTAGTTGAGAGTCTCTCTCCCCAGATATGCCTGTGTTTGTGTGTGTTGACAGTAAGCCTGGCAGAAGCTGAGCTTATAGACCTGAGCTAGAAGGCTGGTGTTTTTAGGCGTTGAGGCCTTGTTATCCAGATGACTAGTCAGAGGGATGCTACAATCAAGATCTAAAAGGAGTAACAGCTTATTTTACTTGTTCTTGTAATTTGGTAAAATTTGATATTTGACCTTTTAATCAAAGTACTGAAATAAGATTTCACTGAATTTGACTGAAATTTTTAGTATTTTAAAATGTGGAATATATGGAAAATGTCAGATGTTAGGTTTTCCCTTTTTTTTTTTTTTTTGGTGGGGTGCTTTTTGAGACAGTGTTTCTCCAAGTAGCCTTGGCCTATCCTGGAACTAGCTCTGTAAAATCAGGCTGGCCTCGAACTCACAGAGATCCGCCTGCCTCTGCTTCCCGAGTGCTGGGATTAAAGGCCTGCGCCACCACTGCCCAGCCAGCATACTAGCAAATCAGATTATTTCAGTTTAGTAGGCTTTGGGAAGCAAGGCTTCTCTTGAATGCTGACTGCTGAAGCATTGTGCTGGAAGCACTCATGTTAGCAAGGATCCTAAACTGTCCTCCACCCAGCCTTCATTCATCCAAGAAAACATTTATGTGGTGTTTGTTGTGAACACGTATTGAATTTATCACTGAGAAGGCAGAGGTGAGTATCATCTAGCCTTTCAAGAGGCACAAGAGGGAAAATACCCACAGGACTTCCCAGAACATAAGGAGCACCTGGTGGGACGGTGTGGCATTGAACACTTAAGCTAGGAACTTGTTGCTTTGTAGGAAAGTGCAGATTTCCAAGTTCTTACACTGTTTGCTACCTTTGTGTGAAAAGGAGAAAACAAGTACTAAATATATTATGTAATTGAAAATGACAGTGGGGCCTGGAGAATTGGCACAGTGGCTAGGAGCATTTGCTGCTTCTACAGTCCAGAGTCCAATTCCCAGTATCCATAGCAGATGGCTCATAGCTGCCTGCAACTCTAGTTCTAGGGTATCTGGTGCCCCTTTCTCGACTCTACAGGTACCAACATGCACCTCTGAACATACTCACATATACACATACACTTATACATATATAAAAATAGAAATATTTAAAAAAGGAACATACAAGAGAATGTTTTTATCCGAAAGTGAGATAGGGTCAAAGGGAGAGCTGAGACCTTTGTTTGGGCAAGAAAGGGGATAGTGGGGACTGTTGTCTGTAGGAGGACACAGGTTTGAGTAGCCTGTGATTAAGCTCTGAAACAGAGCATTTTAGATAAAAGTGGACAGCAACCACGTAGCTCCTCACCCTGCACAGATGGAGTTGAGTTAGATACTAGTTTGGAGGTATAGCTACCAAGAACCTTTATAGATTGAAGTAGAGAGTTGTTTATTTTAGTCTTGAGTTGAATTTATGATTTGGATTATAGCATAACATTTAGAATTTTATTTTTTTATTTTTGTTTTTGTTTTTCGAGACAGGGTTTCTCTGTGGCTTTGGAGCCTGTCCTGGAACTAGCTCTGTAGACCAGGCTGGTCTCGAACTTACAGAGATCCACCTGCCTCTGCTTAAAATGTTTTCTTAATTGACACATATACTGTATTTATGGAGTACAGGGTAGCATTTTAATGCATATATTCAATGTATAATGATCAGGTTAGAGTAATGAACATATCTGCCAGCTATAATACCATTTCTTTGTGTTGAGATGTTCAGTTAATTTTGTCCACCATAAAGGGACATTAGAAATAATTCCCCCACTCCAGCTGCATCCCTGTGTCCACTATTCTCTCTACTTCTGAGACTGTTGGACAGATTCTGTAGAATATGAATCTGAGAACAGTGTTAGGAGTATTGTAGCAGAGCCAGGGTATGGTGTTTTATGCCTGTAATCCTAGAACTTGGAAAGTGGTAGAGGTGGTGAGGCAGGATTGTCAATAGTTCAAAGTCAGCTTAGCTACATGAGTTGCAGGATACCCTTAAAACCCTGTCTTCAGGGGGAAAAGAAAAAGACATTGTATTGGTATTAACTAAGACATGTTAAGGAAAGCAAATAGCTTATCGACAAAAAGTCCTCACTGGTTAAAAAGTACTAATAAAATCAATAAGACTAAATTTCTATATATGAAACCAAATTCAGTCTTTTTAATTTTTCTTTTAAACTCTTGGCAAATTGTCAGTAACTAGTCACACCAGAGTACTGCTCACAAAATACCTGACTTGAAGTTTGGAAGTTTAAACACTTACTTCATTAATTTTATTACATAATTATAATTTTCCCAGAGTTATTCTGTTTTATAAAATTAGCTGTGTATATTCCTTGTTCAGTTCCCTAGCATGAAAAATATTAATTGTTGTTTGTATTATAGCATGCCCCTCCACATTGATAAAAGTCCATAGATAACAGCATTAGGAGTTGTGATACACTTTGGCAGGCGTACTGGGTATGAACCATTGCTCTTCTGTTTCTGGGCAGGCTTCCGGAGCCAGGACTTTGACTGGGCTGACTACCTCAAACAGTGTGGTGCTGAAGCTGCCCCCCAGAAGTGCTTCCCTCCGGTGAGACCCTCAGCCATACCTTGGAGAGATCATGTCCTCAGTTTATACAGTGACCACTTTTTTTCTCTCATTGTAATTCTTATATTTATACCTCATTATTTTCAAAACAATATGCTGCACTCTTTTGAGGTATTAATTTAGAAACTTATGTTGGTGACATATTATAGTAAATAAATATTTAATTATTTCATGTTACCTTCCCTTCTGTCTTAACCATCACTATTTCGTTTTGGTGACGTTTGGGTTAAAGTTTTACATTACATTATGTGATTCTAAACTTAAATAGCTCACTGCTGCAGCATTTTAAGATTTTTTTTTCCTTTTTAAAATGTTTGTCATGTTAGTAATTGCTGTTTTGTTGCTATTTGGTTAATGCTCTTTGTGTTCATTACTAGTTCTTCCCATACCTTCCTTCTAGTAGCATCTTGTCACTAATCCACGAAGGCAGTGCAGTAGGAAGATGACTTCCTAGTATTTTTTCTCCCTGGGAAGGCTGCTTTCGAGGCTTCCCATTTGGTCTTGTCACCGCCACACAGAGTTGCCCTCGCCCTACTGCTGTGTGTAACTCAAGGCCTCTTTCCTCCTCTCTTGGCTTACTTGGTTGTGTGTAAGAGAGAGAGACAGTTAGAGATAGAGAGACAGAGATAGACATGTGCACATGCAGCAGCCAGAAGGGGATGTTGGGTGTCTTCTTGTTTCTCTTCAGTCTTTAAAAGGTAGGTCTATCACTAAGCGAGAAGCTTCCTGTTTCTGATAGGCTGACACATTCCCAGAGGGCCTGTGGCATCCACTTGCCTCTCTGCACCACAGCTTTGGTATTACAGGCATTCACCGTCATCTCTAGCTTTTTAGTAATATTGAGGATTTGGGCTCAGGTCCTCTTGCTTTCACAGCTAGTGCTATTAACCACTTGGCTGTCTCTCCAGCCCCTGCTTGGGGTTTTGATGGTGCCTGCTATTGCTTAATAGCTTCTTAAAAATATATAATAAGGACTATGTAAATTTTAATAAATTCTATATATTGAAAATTTCACTCTACTGTCATACTCAAAATTTAGCTTTAATATGAAAGTTAGGTTGGACATTACTTTAGAATTTAAAAAATAGGAGCTGGAGAGATGGCTCAGAGGTTAAGAGCACTGGCTGCTCTTCCAGAGGTCCTGAGTTCGATTCCCAGCAACCACATGGTGGCTCACAACCATCTGTACTGAGATCTGGCGCCCTCCTCTGGCGTGCAGGCATACATCGAGGCAGAATGTTGTATACATAATAAATAAATAAATCTTTAAAAAAAAAGAATTTAAAAAATATTACTCACTTTCTTTAGTTTTTTTTAATAAAAAGACAATTTTATTCTTGACTTTTTTTATGAGACAGAATTACTCTTAACTTTTTGTAGATGAACCTGCCTTTTCTCTCCCCTTTATGCAAAGTTGCAGATAGCCTGCCTTTTTTCCTCTCATAGAAAATACAGAATCTCAGTAGAGCCTGGTGGCACATGCCTTTAACCTCAGCATTTGGGAGGCAGAGGCAAATGGATCTTTATGATTTCAAAGCCAGCCTGGTCTACAGAGTGAGTTCCAGACCAGCAATGGCTGCATACATTTCTGAGACCCTGTCTCCAAAAACAAACAAAGCTTTATAGTTGGTCTTTTTGTTTTATTTGTTTGTTTTGAGATTTACTCTCACTCTGTAGTCCATGTTGGCTTCAGGCTCACTGGAGGCCCAAGGCTGTCTTTGGACTCATGTAATCCTCTTGCCTCGGTTTACTAATTGCTGGGATCATGAGTTTTTATTTTAAAAAATGATTTTTAAAATCTGGGTATTTTGTGTTTCTGGGCATGTGGTACCCTCAGAGGCTAGAAGACGGCATCAGACCCCTTGGAAATTGAGATGCAGGGTGTTATTAGCCGCTATGTAAATTCTGGCACCAAACTCGGGTCCTCTGCCAGAATAGAACTCTTGGCCTTAAGCTGTCTCTCCAGCCCCAACTTTTTAATTTTTTGTTTTCTTTGAATAGTTCTCTATTTTGTTTTGTTTTTTGAGACAGCATCACTGACTTCACAGGGTCTGTCTATTTCTGTCTGGCCTGGAACTTGTTATGTCAACAAGACAGGCTTTAACCTCACAGACATCTCTCCGCTTCTGCCTCTTGGTGCTGTGATTGAAGGTGCCCCAGACCCAGCTCTAACAGCTCTTTACTTTAGTGTGAAATAGATGCTCTTGTCTCCCAGAAGACACTAATTAGCACCACCACTGGTGTGAAGGTTTCCTTGCATGCTGTTTTCTCCAATTGTCTGTAGCTTTTATATTCTTAAATATCTGATTATTCTAGATTACTGCTTATATTTAAGAATGAGAAAGTGAAACAAAAAAAAACTGGTTAGAAAGTTTGAGCATGTTTAGATGGGGCTTGTCAACCTTAATTTTTCTTACAGAGTGGGATCTCACGGGCCACTTATTGAGAAAAACTAAATCTTTGTGTATTGTCCTAGTACTGTAAAAGATCTTTTCCTGTCCCTGTCTGACATTATAGAGGCTGCGGCTTGGCCTTTACTACGCACATACCCTTAACAGTTATTTGTGTCCTCCTGCCCAAAGATCTTGTATTTTGTCTTTTCCAGAGAATAAATCTCACTTTCTGTAGGGAAGGGAAAGACACAGTTGCCCTGAGGTATGTAATAGTATATAATGGCATAATGTAAATGCTTTTTAAATGTTTCTGAAAAAAAAAAAGGAGAAAGGAAAGAAAAAGGTCCTCCAAGCATGAAGATACCCATCTGTAATTCCAGTGCTCTAGGAGGCTGAGGCAGGAGGATTAAAGTAAATGGGAGGCCAACCATTTCTCAATAGTAAAACCCCTATCTCAAAAAAACATTTTTAATTTAAAAAATTGATGACTGGGAATGTAGCTCATCATCTCTTTAGAGTGCATGCTTAGCATGATGGAGCCCTGAGTTAGGACCTCAGAACATATAAACCAGGTGTGGTGGTGCATACCTGAAATCCCAGCCCTTGGAAGGTGGAAGGTAGGAAGACGATCAAGAATAACCGTCTCATCTTTGCACGCAGCAAAAGTTAGAGGTCAGCCTGAGCTATGTGAGACCTGTCTGAAACAAAACAGAAGAAACATGCAGATCAGCCAGACCTTGTTTAGGCCACTTCTCCTGTGTCCATGTGCATCAGTTCTGGTGCTAACAGTTTGTGCCTGCCATCTTTTGTTAGGTTATGGCTTTATTTTTAAATTTATTTATTTATTCTGTGTGTGCATATGTACACATGCACTTGTCATGGCACATATGTGGAGGTCAACTTGGTGGAAGTTTGTTTTTACCTTCTACCTTATAGGTTCTGGGGATCAAACAAGTACCTTACCGACTGAGTCCATCTAGAGAGCCCTAAGTTTATACTCTCAAAAACCAATAGCAATTTTATTGAGTTATCAGGAATTAAACAGTTAAATCTCAAAACTTGTTTCCTATTTTCTCTTTGCTTCCTTGAAAACAAACAAAACAAGATATTGCTTTACTGTAAATCTAGTGATTAAACACCGTAAAACATTCTAGTTGAATATATGAATTAATACTAAGTATTAATCTAATTAATGAATTTGATTCATTGATTTTCTTCTAGTCAATTTCTGATCACCAGTTTAAGAAGAACATGAAACTGGAGGCTGTGAACCCTCTCCTCCCTGAAGAAGTGTGCATTGCCACCATCACTGCAGTGAGAGGCTCCTACCTGTGGCTCCAGCTGGATGGTAGGCCAGCACGCCTGACAAGTTTCCTGTGGCGTTTTTTTGCTCTTCCTGCTCACTACTGTAATGTAGCTTGTTAGATTTGGTGGACTTGGAAATAATGATATAATTTGAAATCCAAAATTTTAAGCTAATATTTTACTCTTTGTCCTTGGATTTTAAATTTTAAGAAATGAAAGTCAATAAAACCTCTTTAAAGTCCTTTATTTTCATAAGGGTAAATCAAAATAACATGTATTTTGAAGTTACCAAAATATATTTGTGTAACATTAACTGCCTCACTTATTGTAGTGGTGAACATTTTGGTTGCCCCAAGAAAATAGAACCAAGTAGAATGTAGACAACTTGATTTGTCTTTCTCCAAGTGATATTTAGTGATTGGACAGGTTTGTGGATGAAGCTATGTAAGTCCTCAATGCTTTAGCTATTATTTGTAGCCTGCTTTTTTTTAAATCCTGCTACCAAATAGTCTTTAAAATGATTGCATTCTGTTTCTGATTTATAGAATTGATGTATAATACGGATGTCAAGGACAGTATTTACTGCAGACATCCTTGCAAACATCTGCCAGGTTACTTTTCCTGATTTGAATTCATTGTTCCACAAACAGGTTTATTCCAAGAATGCAAGACAGTAGTCCAGTTAGTTAAAGTAAACGTGATATTTTGCTCTTACATTCTGGTTGTTTCAAGGAAATGTCTGTGATACTTGCTAGCCGTATGAGTGAAACCAATTATAGCTCCAGTTGCTTCTTTGCTGTTCCTTTGCCAGAGGTCAATTTGTGTATTTACTTCCTTCTTGGTTCTTATAATTTATATATAGAAAGCAACTTATTTTTTCATAATATTTATATATCAAACTATATTACTTCCAGGAGAAACATTATTGCTTAAGAGATTTGTGTCTATTTTATTACAGTATTGTTTAAAAAGTAATGTGTAGGACTAGGCATGGTTGTGCAATACCTTTAGTACCACCACTTGGAGGCTGAAGCAGGGGATTTCAAAGCTAGCCTGTGTTAACCTAGTGAGAACCAGTCTCAAAAACTGAACAAACAAATCACATAAAACAAAAATACTTATTAAGAAAGATGTTTAATAGTTAAAATTTTGTTTTCTTAATCTAACAGGTTCTAAGAAACCTATACCTGAATTCATTGTAAGTGTGGAGTCGATGGATATATTTCCTTTGGGCTGGTGTGAAACCACTGGCCATCCTCTCAGTACTCCTCGCCGGGCACGAGGTATTTTTTCTATGTCTGGATTAGAGGATTGGTTATCAAATGATCTCTTGTACAGGTTATGGTAATATAGACATTTCAGAGAAAATCAAAATATTACCTTTTGTATAGACAATTACTGGAGCAAACTTTTATTAGCTTAGAGGTCTAGGCTAAATTTAGGTAATCTTGATTTCTCACAGGTTGTAATAAAGGATTCCACCAGGACAGTTATTATCTTAGGACTTGAACTGGGAAGACTCACCCCGTGTTTACTCAGATGATTACTGGCAAGTGTCTTAGTCCATTCTGGTTTTGATAGCAAAATTCTATAAAGTGATGTGTCTGCTGTCACGGGAAGTCAAGTGATAGAGTGCTAGCAGATACTTTTCTGTTTCCTAGACAAGGCCTTTTTCAGATTTAAAATTTTTTTTTATCATATGTATATTAGTGTTTTGCCTGCATGTATAAATATGTATCATGTAGGTGCCTGATGTCCCCAGAGTTGATAAGAAGGGAGCAGAGTCTCTGGAGCTGCAGTTATTGAGGGTTGTGAACTACCATGTTAGGGCTGGGAACTAAACCAGGGTCTTCTGCAAGAGAGCAAGTACTCAGCCCTGAGCCTTCTCTCCAGCCCAGAGATGTTCTTGCTGAGTCCTCACAGACTAATGCAGACTGCTCACTCTCTGGGCACCCTCCATAGGGTCACTACTCCCGCTCATGAAAGGTCTGTCTTTACCATGACCACCTGCCTCACCTCCTAGTGTGGTAAGTAGGGTTTCAGAATTAATTTGAGAGTACAGTCAGACAATAGCAGCAGGAATTCATTTCCATAGGCTGCTGAACCGAGGAACTTAGTTCTTTGCTGATCATTGGCGGTCGAAGTTCTTTGTCAAATGGAGCTCTTCATAGGGCAGCTCAGAAACTGGCTTCTATTGGAATGAGGTAGCCTTTTGTTTTGTTTTGTTTTGTTTTATTGGTGACCTTGTCTCACAGTGTAGACTCTGACTGGGCTAGAACTCAGTGGGTAGGCCAGGGTGACTTTGAATTCGGATTTGCCTACCTCTGTCTCCTAAGTCTATGTAAGAACAAGTGCTCTTACTTGCTGAGCCACCACTCCAATCCCTTCACTCTCATTTAGTTATATAGTGGGTTTTTCTGCATTTACTGTGTGTGTATTTATGTTTGTATGTGCACATGTGCATGCCATTGCACACATGTGGAAGTCGGAGAACTCCTGGGAGTTGATTCTCTTTTCCTACCTAGTGAGTTGGGAATCAAACTCAGGTTGTTAGACTTAGTAGCAAGTGACCTTATCCACTGAGACATCTTGTCAACCCTCTATTCTCTTTTTATAACATGTTTTTAATTTCAGTGTATTCCAGTGTAATTTATTGACTCTTTTATCACACTTTTATCATGACTCTAGGTGTCATATTTAAGAAGGGTTCTACAAATTCAGATTTGTAGAATTTTTTTCATCTGTAAGAGTTTTGAAGTTTTATCTCTGTTTAGTAATTTGCTTTTATTTTTATATATGATGTAAGTTAAAAGTCTAGCTTTGTACATATGAATGTCTTATTTCCCGAACACTTCCCGAACACTATGCTGCAAACTATTCCTACTCCATTAACTGGTCCTTAGTGTCCTCGTCAGATCAGCCTTTCTTTTCAGTATCTATTTTTTCTGTTAAAGTATTTGTAGGTGTTGATTAGCCTAGTGATCCTTGAAAATGTTGATTTTTCTAAAATGATCCTAACCCAGAAAAATGTTCCTTTGAATGTTAACACTTAAAGTCTAATTTAAATGTACTTGCTCATTATTTACATACAACCAGGTACCAAATATGCTGATTACAAGCATAAGTCTTTGTCTTTTTTTTTTTAATTTATTTATTTATTTATTATGTATACAATATTCTGTCTGTGTGTATGTCTACAGGCCAGAAGAGGGCACCAGACCTCATTACAGATGGTTGTGAGCCACCATGTGGTTGCTGGGAATTGAACTCGGGACCTTTGGAAGAGCAGGCAATGCTCTCAACCACTGAGCCATCTCTCCAGCCCCTAAGTCTTTGTCTTTAAAACATTTTTGGTGTTTTTTTTTTTTCTTATAGTGCATAAACAGCGGAAAATTGCAGTGGTTCAACCAGAAAAACAGTAAGTAATATAATAGATGTTTAAACAATTCAGGTTTGCAATTTAGAATATTTAGGGGAAAATAACTGTTTAAGGGAATATATCACCTTTATGTTATTTTCTCAGATGGAAGCATAAACTTTTAAGTCAAATTTGATAGCTTATATATTTCTCTTAGTATAGTTCTTTCCTAAAATTGCATTGTAATATTAGACATGGTGGTGTATGCATATAATCTTAGCTTCTTTAAAGGCTGACTCAGCAGGATCATTTAAGGCAGGTTGTATAGTGAGTACCAGGCTAGCCTGGGTTATGTAGTAAAACCCTCATCTCCAAACAAAATTCTTATTATATACAAAAGGGAAAATATATCTTAAAGATGTTTTCCCCAAATTAATTTTTTTCTAGCTTTTAGATATTGAAGGCATTTGAATAAAAGAGGGAAGTATTTGTCAAAGAAGAACAAGAGTTATAAGTCAGGGAATGATTTGTCACAGTGTCTTGATGTACAGAACAGCGACTGGACAAGAAAAGCTACGTTCCTCCTTTGAGCCCATCAGGAAACTATTTGTAGCATACTCTTACACGCAGCCTTTGAGAAACAGTCAATTGGTGGTTGACTTGCATCTTAAAAATACAAAAGTTTTTAGGTTCTATAAAGAAGCAGAGGAAGCAAAATGAGAATGCCTTATTGAGAAAAGGTACCAAGCTACAGGGCTAAATACAGATAGGAATTACGGGTTAATTTAAGTTGTAAGAGCTAGTTAATAATACGCTTAAGCTAATAGACCAAACAGTTTATAACTAATATATGCCTCTATGTATTTCTTTGGACTGAATGGCTACAGGACCATTCAGAAACTTCCATGTACATTGAGGCCCTCTCTGGCTACATAGCGAATACCAGATCAGCCAGAGATATATGCCAAGATCCTGTCTCAAACAACAGCAATCAAAATCCCACAAGAAATTTACAGGGTTTATAATATAGTTTTGTAATTTCTGAACTGTAGTGTATTTATATGTATATGTATACATATATATATGCATACACTTATATACATAATCACATGTCTATAGATTGTTGGCTCAGTTGTCCTGCGCATGTTTTGTTGGTGGTGATTTTTGGGGTGGTTTTTGATTTTTGAGCCAGGGTTTCTCTGTGTATATGCATTTTAAAATAATTTCTACTTAAAAAAAAAACAAGGTGTTGTAAATTAAGAACATTCTTCTATTTGATTTACAACTTGCCACATTTGTTTTTTTGAAGGAAACTAATGTGAAGACTTTGCTGGTATTAAAAGTAATTTCACTGTTTTTTTTTTTCCCCCTTTATTTTCTTGATCCAGAATACTCTCTTCAAGAACTGTCCATGAGGGCCTGAAGAATCAGCTGAACTCCACACACTCAGGTATATGGAGAAGAGATCCTTGGTTACCTTTTAATGGTTTTATATAAAACTTTAGGCCAACTAGAGCTACATAGTGAGACTCTTATCTCAGAATACAAAAAAGCAAAAGTGCCTGTGTATTTGACGTATTAATTAAGGTGGGGCTTAGGAGACAAGCTTTAAGTCTGAATAATGTTCAACATTCATCTCTAGGAATGCTATAGAATACATTATTGAATAATTGATATTGAAGAACTGGAAATAACTGACTATCAGGACTACTGGATTCATGGAGTAGATCCTCTACTTCTTTTATCAAAAATGTGGGCCTCTAGATTTGTGTACATTACCCAGGAATTAATCAACATATGTAATTGAGGATAGCGATAAACTCCATAAGTTAGCATAAAAGTAAGTATAAGATATTTAAGAACATTGTCAGACAGTATGCTATTCTTAAAAATATGTATTTACATGGCTGGGAATGTAGTTCAAAGCTTGCATAGCATGTACAAACTTCACATATACAAAAAAATATGTAATTTCAAAACTCATATAATGGTGTATAGGTTGGTTGCCACCCCCAGCTTATCATTGGAGACCTGGAGTAGAGTGTGAATGAATGTTTGTTTCTTCATTTCCAGTGATGATCAATGGCAAATATTGTTGTCCAAAGATATACTTCAACCACCGCTGCTTCTCAGGGCCGTATCTTAACAAAGGAAGAATTGCTGAGCTGCCGCAGTGTGTAGGACCTGGGAACTGTGTTCTGGTACTTAGAGAGGTAAGGTTCTGACCTAGGACAGAACTTGGAAATTAAACAGGAGTCTCCCAGGCTCATCCATGGAGAGAATCATGTGCCATTGATAAACAGCTATAGGTTTAATCAAATGTAACTGTCACGTATGGTAGTTCCCTCTTAGCCATAATACAGTTCTAAGACATCAGATAGTGCCTCAAAATGAGAAAAGTAATAAGCATTATCCTCCCCCCCCCCTGAATGTATTGTATTAAATCTTTTTTGTTCTTGTAACAAGATGCCTGAGGAAGGTTAGTTAAGAAGAAAAAGAGGTTTATTTAGTACATAGTTTTGGAGGTTAAAAAGTTCAAGACCAAGCATTCCTATTGATTTGGCTTGTGGTGAAGCTTTTCTTGACTGGGTCTAATCATAGTGAAGACTATACATGTGAGGAAGAATTCTGTTGGCAAATAAGAAACTTGAGAAAGACTGGAAACCCACTGTCCCCCTGAGGTCATGTTTCCAGTTTTTCTAAGGACCTCTTGTTTAAATTGCTGATGCTGTCACAAAAAAAGGAAGGGAGAGAGGGAGGGAGGAAGAAGGAAGAAAAAGACAGATCTGACAAAACCAGTTCCCAGGAGAAAAGGGTATTTGCCTTATGATGCTGATTACAACCCTCAGTGCAGGGAGTCAAGGCCACAGAAACTTGGGACTGCTGCTCACTTTACAGCTGAGGAGCAGATGATGGATGGATACTGGTGTGCTCAGCTCACTTCCTCCCTTTTACATACCCAGAACCCAACTCCAGGGAGTGGTGCTGCTCACTTTTAGGCTGCATCAATCAACATAATCAAGATGATCCCCCTACAGACGGGCCCACGAGGAAGTCAGATCCAGGCAGTTCTTCACTGGCACTCCTGCCCCAGGTTATTTTACAGCGTGTCAGTCTTCCACAGTTAAACTGACCACGGCAGTGGGGCTGTGGTGCATGCCTTTAATCCCGGCACTCGGGAGGCAGAGACAGGTGGATGTCTGTGAGTTTAAGGCCAGCCTGCTCTATCGAATGAGTTCCAGGTCATCCAGGACTGTTTCACAGAGAAACCCTGTCTCATAAAGCCAACAAACAAACAAAGCAAAACCAAAAAAAAAAAAAAAAACCCTAACCATGGCAACCTCCCACTCAGCCTCATTTCTTAATAATTCTGTCACCTTCTATATCCATCATACTGTGGACCACGATTCTGACACATAAGCTTGAGGAGGGGATAAAATTTAATTAATAAGTTAGACATGGTAAGTGATTAACAACAATAACAAATAAAATCGAAAATTATAACAATATACTATAATAAAAGATGTATGAAAGTCCTCTTTCCTCTGTGAGTTCGAGACCAGCCTGATCTACAGAGCTAGTTCCAGGACAGGCTCCAAAGCCACAGAGAAACCCTGTCTCGAAAAACCAAAAAAAATAAAAAATAAATAAAATAAATAAAAAATAAATAAAAGTCCTCTTTCATATTACTTTACTGAGATGTACCTTCTACTTGTTATAATGTGAGATCAGATCAGCCTACGTGACATTAGAGTACTTGAAGAGTTGCTTGAGCCAGGACGTGCTCTGTGATATCTCTTGGACTGATCTGATAACTGGCACAGCCACTCAGAGGCCATGGGTAATGTGTACAGCATGGGCACAGTAGGCAGAGATAATCCACATGCGTTGGCAGATGGTAAAGATTTCACTGGGGTCCTCAAAATGGTATACAGTTTACTGTGGGTCATATGTGGCTGCAACTCAGGGCACAAACCCTTAGTGGAAACTGGGTACTACCATGCTGCATGGCAAATTGGCACACGATTGTTTCGACTCCTCAGGGATCATTCACCTAAGCAAATCTTCAGATGGGTTCTTTCTAAAAAAAAAAGGTATTGGTCAGAGACTGCCTGAGCACTGTATAGCGGACACTGGAAAGCTGGGAGTGGTGATGCATGCCTGTAATTCTAAAGGACTCTCAGTCTTGCTTGTCTGTAACCAGCTCTTAGATTCATTGATTCTTTGTGTTATTTATTTTAGTTTCATTAATTTCTGCTCAAATTTTTATTACTTACTGTCATCTTTTGGATTTGATTTGTTTTTGTTTTTCTAAATTCTTGAATTGCATCATTAGTAATTTATTTGTGCTTTTTCTGATTTTTTTTTTTAATGTAGACACTTAGAGCTATAAGTTTCCCCCAGGTGTTTTGTTGTATTGTGTTCTCATTGTTACTTAGTTCCAGGAATTTTTCATTTCTCGTTTGACCTGTTCATCATTCAGTACTGAGTGGGTTAATCTCTATGAGCGTATGTACTTAAGAGAGATTTCTTTGTTGTCAATTTTAAGTTTTATTGCATTATGATCAGATAAGAGACACAGTTATTCTGAATTTGTTAAGTTTGTGTCTCGTGATGTAGGCCGCTGAGTAGAACGTGTTTTATTCAGTGTTTGAGTAGAATATTCTGTAGAAAGCTGTAAGGTCATAATTAGTGTATAATGTCATTTAGTTCTGATGTTTCCTTGTTTATATTTTGTCCAGATGTCCTGTCTGATGGAGAAAGTGGGGTCTGAAAATCACCTGTTATTATTGGGTTGGTGGTCACTGGTGTAGTTAAGTCTAATAATAGACTCCTTATGAAATTGAGTACTCCAGAGTTTGACACCTACATGTTCAAAATTGTTATGTCTTCTCTTTTGATTGTTCTTTTGACTCTTGATCAAAGTGAAATGTCTTTCTCTCCTATTAGTTTAAAGTCTTATTTTGTCAGATATTAGGATAACAGTGCTTGTTTGATTGCTGTTCCTGTTAGCTTAGAATACTTTTTTTACTTCCTTTTACTTCAATGTGGTACCTGCCTTTAAAGCTGAGTTTCCTTTTTTTTTTTAAATCAAATGTCTTCTTTTTTTATATTTTTTTAATATTTATTTATTTATTATGTATACAATATTCTGTCTGTGTGTCTGCCTGCAGGCCAGAAGAGGGCACCAGACCTCATTACAGATGGTTGTGAGCCACCATGTGGTTGCTGGGAATTGAACTCAGGACCTTTGGAAGAGCAGGCAATGCTCTTAACCGCTGAGCCATCTCTCCAGCTCCCTAAAGCTGAGTTTCTTGTAGACAAAAGAAAAATGGGTTTTTGTTTCTTAATTCCTTTAGTCAGCCTGTGAGAGTTGAGACCATTGTAGTCATTTAGTTGTGGGGTTTTTGCTTTTGTGGTTTGTGTTCTTAGTCGTATTTTTTTGTTTCAGTAATTATAGTGTTATTTGTTTTCTGCGAATTGGGGAAGATTCAGGCAGAAGTAGGTTCAGGTGGACTCACCAGGCTAAACCAGAGCACAGGATGTGCTGGGCCTAGAGGAGAGTCTGTACCAGACAGTAAATTACTTTTGTCTTTACACGGCATGGCTGGCTAGAAGGCCCTGGATAGCAGACTCGTAGAGACTGGCATTGGCAGAGATTGGGCCAGGGAGCATTGTTTCACCATACCACATGGATGAGGACAAAGTAGAGATCTCTTACGCTGCATCAGGGTTCACCTTCACATGGTCCAGGATGAAACTCCTCCCCACTGACTCTAGGAAGGCCTTGCCTGAAATTGTAGGTTGGAATTCCCAACTTCAGGCTCCAAGCAGTCCCAGATAACTGAGGGGATGGAATGGCTGATAGGAGTGGTAGGGGCGTGTGCCTGTGATTCTAACCCTTAGGAGGCTGAGGCAGTAGAATTTTGAGTGCAAAGCAAGACCTTGTGTAAAGAAAAAAATATGTATGAATGCATGGGTTCACTGTGAGATTTGTTTACAACCAATAAGAGGTTGTATGGTATTAACTCGAGTCCATGATTAAGCTGTGAGTTTCTCAGGCTTTCAGTACCTTCAGCCACACTGTGTTGCACTGTTTATAACAAGTTTGAGGACTTGAACCTGTCAGTCTTCTAAAGGGGAAGGCAGAGTCTGAGGAACCTAGAGTTTGTGAACCAGACTCCTGGCCATCAAAAGAGTGATGCCTGTACAGTGTTCTCCTGCTGGTTTTTGTCAACTTGATATAAGCTAGAGTAATCAGGAAAGAAGAATTTCTGCTGAGAAAATGCCTCCATGAGATTGTCAGCAAGTCTCTGTTACATTTTATTGGTTAATGTAGGAGAGCCTAGTGCACTGTGGGTAGTGCTACCTCTGGACAGGCGGTCCTGGATTGTATAAGAAAGCAGGCTGTGCAATCCTTGAGAAGCAAGCTAGTAAGCAGTGTTCCTCCATGGTTTCTGCTTCAGTTTTTGCTACTAGCTTCCTACCATGTGTGGCTTCTCCCATTGAAAGACTGTAGCTTTTAAGTCAAGTAAACTCTTTTCTCCCTATTCCCAAGTAAATACAATTGTCTGTGCATCATGATGGGAAAAACATTTGGAAGTACATGCTAGGGTACTTTTAAATTTGTGGTACTTGTTTTTTCCTGAATGTTGTGAAGAATCTGATTACTCTTAATTTGTAGCTGACATGCTTTTGCTTTTATTATTTTGTTAACATTCTTAACTGGAAATAATCTCCAAAATGCTTTCAAAATGCTTTTCAAAAAAGGTTGGCAAGTGTATTAATATTCTAATATTCTAATATTCTAATGACCTGATTTTTCTCCTCCCTCCTGAATCTACATTTCTGCCTTAAAACCCATCTCAGGTCCTCACTTTACTTATCAATGCAGCCTACAAACCCAGTCGTGTCCTTCGTGAGCTCCAGCTGGACAAAGATTCTGTGTGGCATGGATGTGGGGAAGTCCTAAAAGCCAAGTGAGTAGAGTACCTCACCCTCTATTCTTGTAACTGCTGCAGCTGTTTGTGGTAAAGGACCAGGCTGATTTTTTCTTTTTGATTTCTTTTATGTTAATGATAAAAATAAATTCTAAGAAATAGAAATTTTTAAAAACATAAACATACACTTTTATTAGAGTGAAGATAGAAAAAATTGTTTTAAAACTTTTGTGAAAGTTTATGAACATTCACTACTGCTGACCTGAACTTTTTTTGTGGCAGGGTAGCAGTTGGCATATCATATTGTCCTTGAGCCACACTCTGAGGATCACTGCTCAGGATAAAGGAAGATTTAATAAAAAGATGCTTTTAGAGTAATTAGTAAAAGTAGTACTTAAATTCAAGGCTGGGAAACAGAGCTCATTGATAGAGTGCTTTCCTAGCGCACTTCAGGCCCTGGGTTAATCGCTCAGGTAAATGAATAAATAAGTGACTGCATACACATGTAAACTTTCACCTAAGATCAGAAAGCAAAGCCTTTGTCTTTCTTGTTTAAATAACTTAATTTTCAAGTTGTAGTGTACCAGATTGTCAGGGACCATCCTTGACAAAAATACCTCTTGCCAGGGTAGGGCATGGGGGATCAGAAAAACAGTAAAGAGGATGAAGATGCAAACAAAATAATAAAAACGAAAACATTGAACTGAAATCACCTGCGTTTAATTTCCAGTTGCTTAAAATACCCCTGACCCCAAAGATAAGATAAAAAGACTGTATTAACACGATACAGGGAAATGAACATACTGATTGAAGGTTGTGGGCTACATTTTATTTCTAGAACAAGACAAGTATTGCTCACACCCTAGACCAAAACATTCTGTTGGCAAACCACTCACTGGGTGGAACCCATAGTTATCTCCTTAAAGGAGTAGGAACTTAGTTGGATTCTTAGACTTTTGTTTGGAGTAGAAACAGATCTACTTCTCTATTCCTGAAATATAAGGTCAGGATATTAGCCACACCTGTTAACAATAACCTTGAGACAGCAGAACTCTACACCTAAATCTAGATTGGACCTTTGTTTGAGGTAGAAACGGACAATAACCTTGAATCAATAGAGATAAGTTCCAGCTCTCTGACCTTTGGACAAGATGGAATGGGCTCACATTTTTGGGCCTCCACACCAGATTTAAGTACAGAACTTTCTTTTTGTTTTAAGTATTCTCAAAGTATGGGGACTGGAAGGATGGCTCAGCAAATAAAAGCACTGGCAGAGGACCCAGGTTCAATTCCCAGAAACCATATAGCAGCTCACAGCTATCTGTGACTCCAGTTCCAGGGCATCCAAAACCTTCACAGAGACATACATGCAGGCCAAACATAAGCACACATAGAATAAAAATAATCATTAAGAGAATTCTCAAGCTCTGAAGTCAAGTAAAGCTATTTTCAGCATACTTGTGTTAAATTTTTCTTAGGGTGAACATTGGTGCAATAAGTTTGGCATCTGATGTTTTCTGATTGTAGATATAAAGGGAAGAGTTATCGAGCTACTGTTGAGATAGTGAAGACAGCAGATCGAGTGCCTGAGTTCTGCCGACAAACATGTATCAAATTGGAATGTTGTCCTAACCTTTTTGGTCCACGGATGGTTCTGGATACATGTTCTGAAAACTGCTCCGTTCTTACAAAGACTAAATACAGTGAGTAATGGTTTTCAGATGTGTTAGCCTTAACATTTGTCATCTTACATCTTATAGAGATAGTCATGCTATCAGAGAAGCACAATCTTCTTCTATAAAGGATCAGATGATAATATACTGGGGTCATGTGATCTCATTCTATTTTGTTGTTTTATTATATTTTATCTTTTTTTAAAAAATCTTTAAAAATAGAAGAACCAAGGAGGAATTCATTTTTGCAGAAAATTATATTAGAAAAAAAATTATATTACTTTACTTCATAATCAGAATTATCCCCGCCCCCACTTGTTTCCTCCTTCCCTTCTTTTTTCCCTCCCTTTTTTCTTTGTGTGTGTGTGTGGGGTGTGTGTGTGTGTGTGTGTGTGTGTGTGTGTGTGAGGGGGTGTTAGAAGTGTTGTGGTCTTTGTTGGTTTAGTTTGACTTTGGTGTTTTGAAACAGTTTTTCTGTATAGCCCTGATTGCCCTGACTGCCCTAGAACTCACTGTGTAGCTTCGGGTTGCCTCAAACTTTCTGTCCGCCTTACTCAGCCTTCCAATTACTGGGCTTATAGGCATATACCATCATATAAGCTGTTGCATGTTTTTGTCTCTATATTCTAAATTTTAATTAAAAACAAGAAGTATTTATTTATTTATTTATTTTGGTTTTTCAAGACAGGGTTTCTCTGTGGTTTTGGAGCCTGTCCTGGAACTAGCTCTTGTAGACCAGGCTGGTCTCGAACTCACAGAGATCCGCCTGCCTCTGCCTCCCAAGTGCTAGGATTAGAGACGTGAGCCACCACCGCCCGGCCACAAGAAGTATTTAGAATACCGAGAACTTTTAATTCTAAATAAAGAACAAATTAAAGTTGAAGGACTTTTTCTTTTTTAACCATAAAAGACAATTATAGTCATTAAGAAATTTATTAAAGAATAAATAGTGGGTTGAAATAGAGGATCTAGAGATAAAGTGAAACTTGCATAATCAGATGACTTTAACAAGGGTGACGGTGAAGAAAGAACTGACATTAGTATGGCACCAGTAACAGTGAATATCCAAACAGAAAAACAAAAACCGAACTTTGTTTTTTTAATAATTCCACCATTTTAAAAAGAGAAAGCCAATCCATAATATTAGGGAAATATCCTTAATGTGTGTGTCCAGCCAAGAATTTTTTCCAGAACACGTTATGAATTTCCACAACTCAGTAATATAAAAGGAAGTTATGAGATGACACAGAGCTGATAGCTGCATGCCATTTTGAATATATTAACTACCACTGAATTGTATACTTAAAATAGTTAATTGTATGTTACATGAGTTTCAGTTCAATTAAATTTTTTTAAAAAATAGAAATATGTCTAGAATTAGTGATGATTTCACACAGCAGTTACTTCACTAAAGCCAGTAAATAGTAGACCGTCAGCTGAATTTTATATGTGAATATATCTCTGTAATTTTTTTTAAAAATTCTAAAATAAAAAGCAAGTTACAACTAGTGGGGCACTTGTGCAATCCTGGGTTCAATCTACAGTGTCACATTTTTTAGTTTTTTAAATAAAGTAAAAAGAAGCCTTTAAACGATAAGAGGTGGCACAAACATTGTGGAAGAAGATACACAAATACATAGTAAGCACATGGCAACAGCTCAGTACAGTTTGTTACTTGGGCAATGTAAGTTTGAGATTTGTAGTAACATGGATAGAACGGAGGTATGTTGTAATAAGAGGAACAACTCAGATACACAAATGTGGAAGCTACAGTTAGTAGTAGAATAGTGCTTCCTTCCTTACCAGAACCCGGGAAGAATGTGCAGGCAGTGGGGCGTAGTGGTTTTTTGGTGAGTACAACAGTGCAGTCAGGTTGCAAGGGCAGCTTTTCATGTTCATGTGCACTTTGTGTGCACATGACAGAGGCCTGATGATGCTCAGCAATGCCATCTACCTCTTTTAAGACAAAGGCTCTTGTTATTCTTGGAGATAACTCTTAGATTGGTTATATGGAAGGCTAACTTTTGGCAACACCCTGTTTGAGCCTTGTTTGAGGGGATAAAGAAATAGTTTTGTGACTAAGAGCACTTACTTCTCTTGCAAAGAACCTGAGTTGTTCATTACAACTTTATTAATTATGGTCAAAACCAGGATATGGCCCAAGTGCACATCCACAGTGAAATCGATGAATGGGTAAATCGATACTATAGAATCCTACTCACCAACATAAAGAATTGGCTACTTAAATATGAGCACAGATGAGACTAAAAGAATCAATTGATATGAAAGAAGCATTTATAAACCAGTGCCCTCTGCAGGTGCTGCAGAGGCAAGTTCATCTGCAGTGAGGGAATCAGAAAAGTGGTTGCCTTGCAAATGAGTGATTGGGGCCTGAGAACTCTCTGATTGATGGAGATGTTGTCTGCCTTGATAAAGTGAGGATTGTTCACATTTTTACATGTTAGTATAAATCAGATTATGTATTTCTCTGCTTATTCCAATATGTGGAATTTAAACTACAAATGTAGTGACATCCATTTTCTGCTGTGCTAATGGAATCCTGTGGTTTTGAGGTACACAACAATAATGAAGGTACTTTTTTCCTTCTTTTTGGTCATTTATATTTAGCACACTATTATGGAAAGAAGAAAAATAAAAGAATTGGGAGGCCACCTGGTGGTCATAGTAATTTAGCTTGTGCCCTGAAAAAAGCCAGTAAGAAGAGAAAAAGGCGGAAAAATATTTTTGTTCATAAGAAGAAACGGGCTTCTGCATCTGTTGACAATACCCCAGTGGGCTCACCCCAGGTATGAGATCTGTGACACATCCGTCCTTTATAGGGGCAAGTGACCGCTGTTTTACAGTCTGCACACATAGTACCGGTACATCTTTATAATTTTAGTCTCTGCTCAGTAATATTTTTGTGGTTTAGTGACTACTGGTTTGTCCTGAGTTTCAGTGAGATTTTTCCTTTTCTTTTAGGGAAGTGGGGGAGAAGATGAGGGTGATGCAGATGATGCAGATGATGAGTCCTTAAGTGAGGGCAGCACATCTGAACAACAGGACGAGTTACAGGACGAATCCGAAACGTCAGAAAAAAAATCAAGCTCATCTTCTCCCACCCAGAGTGAGATGTCCGCTCCACTGCCCCCAGACACACAGACGAGTAAAAAAGAACCCAACACTCATTCATTCTCAGATGATGAAAATAAGCCTCCTTCACCAAAGGTACCTTGTTGGAGGAAAAAAAAAATCTTTCATTTTCCTTTATATTCTGTCATTTATGGTGCTAGCTCACTTCTTCCCTTATGAACTTAGGAAGAATTTCTAGGGAGAGATGGTTTAGCAGTTAAGAGCACATCCTGCTCTTCTGGGGGACTCCAGGTGGATTTCCGGCACCCATCCCCTCAAGACTGCCTGGAATTCTAGTTCTGATGTCTTCTTCTGGCCCCTCTGTATACTGTGTGCATACATACACACACAAATACAAATAATAACAAAACTTAAAAAAAATAATAAAGTGATCCTTGATGCTCTGGTTTTCATGTGTTTCAAGGATTATCTGGATATTATTTATAGAGGGACCTTCACAAGGAGCTGCTGGTTTTAAGTAAAAAGAAAAAGTTTCATTGCTAGCTTATTTGCAACCTGCCATTTGGTTTAGAGAAAAGTGTCATTTAAATAATTTTTTAGAATATGTATGGTTTTCTAGAAACAAATTATTTACCCATTTAATTCTTACTCACCTGTCTTGTTTAGCACATTTACTCTGTACATAAATGCACATTGTATGACTTATATAATAGTTCCAGCTACAGCTAACTTACTTCAGAACTGGTAGCGTGTGCTTGCCTAAAGTGCATAAAGCCCTAGGCTCAATCCTCAGCATAGTATAAAACCAGGTGTGATGATACACATACTCTTTAACCCCAGTACTTGGGAGATGGAGGCAGGGAATCAGTTCAAAGCTATCCTGGGTGCCTCATGAAACCCCTTCTAAAATAAACATAACTGGACTTTTAAAATGTCCTGTTAACAGGGACAATAAAAGATTTCTTCTTGTTGTTCTCATTTGAAATGACATTTGCCCTAGCATCCTATCAGAGAACAACCAAAACAGTCCAGAAACACATTGGAAATATAAATAAATTTGATAAAATTTATATTATAAGTTTCCCAGATAGCTAATGCATGTGAGCCTCTTATCTTCTTTGCTGGAAGAAAGCAGTCCCAGAGAGTGAGAATAGGGGCACGGGAGAGGTTAGTCTTAAGTGTACTTTAACTCCTGTCTTAAAGGATTATGGGATTTCTTTGGGGAGAGGTTTTTAAAATGTTAGTGCTTTAACCAATTGGCATCATCTTGTTGTTGAAGGAAATAAGGATTGAAGTTGATGAAAGGCTTCACCTGGACAGTAACCCACTGAAGTGGAGTGTGGCAGATGTCGTGCGGTTCATCAGATCCACTGACTGTGCGCCACTGGCAAGAATATTCCTGGACCAGGTAATCATGAATAGCACAATCTGTAATAATGTGTCTGTTTGGTAAAGAGCTATGTGTATAATAGGCAAAAATTACAAGATTTAGGAAATAATATTTTGGTACAAATTGTTGTGGTTCCCTTTTGCTACTCATAGGACTTGTACCATAATTGCAGCAGGTTATTGCTTTGTTTTCCCTCAAAATTGAATTCTATACTATAAATATTTAAATAATTTAAATATTTAAAAACGGGCATCTATTAATTGACCTCATCTTTTTAAAAACAATGTTTGTTTTAATTTTATGTGCATTGATGATTTGCAATGGGTGTCGGGTTCCCTGGAATTAGAATTATAGACAGTTGTGAGCTACCATGTGGGTGCTGGGAATTGAACTCAGAACCTTTGGAAGAACAGTCAGCGAACCATCTCTCCAGCCCTGATGCTTTTAAACTTAAAAAAGTTAGCATCTCTAATATACCATACTCTAGAGTGGTGACCAGTTTTAATGCAGGTATGGTGAAACACGAATAGCTATGGAAGGCAGAAGATGTAGCTATATTCAGAACAGCATCTATGACTATTGCCCCAGTCTTGGATAGTTATGGTAGGAGGCTCACAAGTTGGAAGCCAGCCTGGGTTACATAGTGAATTTGAAGCCAGTCTAGGCTACATAGTCAGACCATGTTCCAAAAATAAAACAAAAGCCTGGTCATCTTTGAAGTTTTTTAAATGAATTTTACAAAGTAGGAGAACATTAGTATTTTCAAATAGTTTTAGATTTAGAAAGAGTTCTTTAGTCGGGCGTGGTGTCTCACGGCTTTAATCCCAGCACTCAGGAGGCAGAGATAGTTGGATCTCTTGAGTTCGAGGCCAGCCTGGTCTACAAAAGAGTTCCAAGACAATCAGGACTGTTACACAGAGAAACCCTGTCTCAAAAAAAAAAAAAAAAACAGAAGAAAAGAAAAAGAAAGAAAGAGTCCTTTAAAAGTATTTTTTCTTTTCACAATTAATTGTCAGTTACAGGGCTTCATAGATATCGAATTTCTGTTGAGCAGAATCTGTAGGTTAGTGTCTCAAGGCTGGTAAAATTTATTACTAACTCCGAAAGCTCCTCAGGGTGACGGAATCTGGCACTTTTTAAAGGGGAAACTAATGCAGGGAAACAGAGAACTGTAGTTATGGCAGTGCAAGTAGGAACTGCCATGAAGAAGCTTCATTTGTGCGCACATCATGGACTCTGTTCTTTGTCCTCAACAGGAAATCGATGGGCAGGCCCTTTTGCTCCTTACCCTTCCCACCGTTCAAGAGTGCATGGACTTGAAGTTGGGCCCTGCCATCAAGCTTTGCCATCACATAGAGAGGATCAAGTTTGCTTTTTATGAGCAGTTTGCCAACTGAGGACAAGCAGGGGGAGCCGGGTCTTTGAAGCACAGTTCAGTAAACCATTTGCCCTGCTCTCCAGGTGGCTGCAGTTGTCCTGGGGCTGTGGGCCCTGCAAATGTTGGCTAGCTTTCTTTGCACTTTCAGGGAAGGAGGACATGCACTGAGGAAGCGCAAGCAGCACAAAAATGGCTCTCCTGCAGTGGAAATACGACTTCTGCTCGGAAGATTGCAGTTTCCAAAAGTTGTGAGAAAACAACCTTAAAACTGTGGATTCCCATGAATGGAAAAACAGAGAGTGATCTGGACAGCACCTGTTTGGTTCTCTCCATTCTGTCCCTTCCCACTGTAGACTGAACTTTGTTCTTGAAGAGAGAGGACACAGCTTTAAGTCAGCACTGACTTGGGACTGTGCCTAAGGCACATCAGTGCTTCATTGTCATTGTGTTTTTAAGCTTTTTTTTTTTTTAAATTAAAGCAGTTCATTTTGGGGATAATTATACGGCTCTAGGGTTTTGAATGTATAGTTACACATTGATCCATTTTAAAATCTATTCGTAGGAGTTTCTTTGTTTACTACCTCTGTTGATGACTGCGCTTACAGCCATGAGTGACATTTTTTGTATGATGCCATTTTTAAGCTGAATGCTGAAACTATGACAGAAGTTAGAGAAGGCCCTGTCTGCTTTCTTAACGATATCACGTGGCACTTACAATAGTCCCTTAACCATTTCTCCTCAGAATTCTACTGTTACATCCTTCATCTTTACCCAGTTTTGGCCACCATTGTTAAGCGGCCTCACAAAGACTAATGTCTGGTGTTTCAGTTTTAAAAGATACTTAAGTGGCTTTTATTTATGTTTATTTTTCTCTAGAGTTGTTTGACTACCTCTGTTTCATCTCTGGAGTCTCTGCTCTCAGTGACAATCAGTGGTGTCCTTTGGCTCCACTGTAAAGCCCATTTTCCCGGTCTTCTAGGTGTGTCCAGGAAGAAGCACAGGAGAGAAACTCTGGCTTTGGGGATGGCACAAAGTATGGAGTTTCTTAGTAGCGTCCTTGGTTATGAGTATTGAGGAGTCTGTGACAACGCCACCCCAAATGTCCCAGATCTTGCTTCATCTGGAAAGCCAATCAGAGCTGGTTGGTACTTGGATGGGAGAGGTAGTGGAGGAGTCTGGACCTCTGTAGCCATACTTATACCTGTCTCCAGTCACACCAGTTTAAATTGAATGTTATTTACATTCTGAGAAATCCCATTCAGTAGCTCAGTCTTTGAATTTTTTTTTTTCAATTAAACTCAAGTTGACATGAAATTCCAGGTGAATTTTCACTTTTAATGACATTGTTAGCTATTATAGAAAATAGCACTTGCTATGTTGTAGCCATGAGTAAGGAAAGACATACTGCACAGGTTGCCTCCTTTAAATGTTTTCCTTGTTGATTATTTATTTATTTATTTATTTATTTATTTTTTGGTTACCTTGATCTCTACACATTTATACCCTAAGCATTTTTTCCTCAAGAATTGAAAATGTTTTAAAATTGCAAACCGAGTAAATTCTGAACAACTATACAAATTGCAAATATAAGGTAATATTACAAATTTAAATTGTGAATTTTTTTTTCTTTTCTCACCTCAACCCCCACTTGTTTTTATGAACACTGGGAAAGTCTGTAGTCTGGATCCTGTTCTTCATTGGATAACTCTTGACCTGACAGCCAAGTCTTAAAACAGTGACTATTCACATCGTCACCATCAGGCATATCTGGAGGAAGCTTCATCTAAGTAACAGCTCACTGTCTGAGCTCACTTAGAAATCCAGCTTTTAAAAAATAACTGGAGTTCTCATGCCACTGGAGAGAAACATACTTGATAGTAGTAAACAGCTGGTATTGGCAGGCTGATTTGGGGTGGCTGTCTTCATAGAATTTCCCGAGACCTCAGCAGTTAAGTCAATACAAGAGGGGGTCTCATGAGGACCTAAACATATACCTGTAGAATTTCACATTGCTGTAGTAAAAGGAGGGGTGACAGCAATGACTGTGCCATTATGTCGTTCTTGAACTCAAAGATCACATAATGTGGTATGATCAGAGATGACAGGCCCTAAGTAGTCCCGAGTGGGGGAGGGGTGGGACTGACTGTACCATCATTAGTTTCCGCTTTCTCCCGTAGAAAGGCCATTCATAGTGGTGGCGCACGCCTTTAATCCCAGCACTTGGGAGGCAGAGGCAGGCGGATCTCTGTGAGTTCGAGACCAGTCTGGTCTACAAGAGCTAGTTCCAGGACAGGAACCAAAACCACAGAGAAACCCTGTCTCGAAAAACCAAAAAAAAAAAAAAGGCTAGTCATAAATTAGGCGAGTGAGGAGAGCACACTTACTGGGATACGGCATACTCTTATCTGCCCCATCCCTCCTCCCTGGTGTCACACATAAGAGGATTGTATGAGAATTCCGCAAAAAACTTTTTTAAAGTATAAAATCCTAATCCCAGATTGGGTATGGTGATACATACCTCTAGTCCCAGCACTTGGGAAGTGGAAATGAGGATCAGAAGTTCAAGTTCATCCTCAGCTACATAGTGAGTTCTGGGCTAGCCTGGACTATATGGGACCCTGTCTCGTTCTGCTTTTGTTTTGTTTTGTTTTCTGTTTATCTAACAAAGATGCTGGGGTTAGGTTGTATAGGAGTGATGTTCAGTTATGATCATTCTGAGATTCTTAAGGTGGTAATACCTTGCATTGTTGGGAAAGGGGTTTGTATTTTGGACATTTGTATGTGAAGTCTGTTTCTGAGAAAGCCAACCTCATAAATTTATTAGAGGTGTGTTGTCTGGAGTTTCCCTGCACTTGTTCCCACAGCTTGCCTACTGTCAAGTTTTTTGTGATCTATGTTTAACCTGGATTGACAAACTTACAAACACATGGAAGGCCTCTTCTCCTCCTAGACCTGAGAAGTTAGCAAACTTAAACTAGACTTTACAGCTATGCTGGTCTTTTTAGCCAACCGTTGACCTGTTCGTGCAGATTGGTCCCAATGTTTTGACTATATTTCCTGGGTTTCTTATGACTGCTATTTTCCTTTGTGAGCCACCTTCATCCTTTTAAAGTATAGGGATGCATTAATGGAGCCTTTGAATTCTATCTTTAGCCTTTCTATAGCAATGTACTTGGTTCCCTGTGTTTATAATACGGATCCAGGAAAGGTATTAGTCAACCTCTGGAAAGGATGATCTTGGTAGATATTTATGAATTATGATAGAGGCAGGCTAGAAAACCACCGAGTTTGGCGTTCGTGTGTCTCTTTTCCTAGAAGTAAAATGTTTTTCACTACAAGGGAAAGAGCATCAGTTACTAGCGTGATGCCTGAATACAGCTTAAGGCAGGTAGGGCTTACAGCACCCACCCCTCTCAAGCCAGCACTGTTTCTAAGAGACACAGAACATCAGGGAACCTAAATGAAAGGTAACAGCAATGTAAAATCATTGTAAAACCTGTCACTGATACTTATTGTTACTTGGTACCTCTCAGCAAAAACTTAGATTTAAGAGATTCTTTTCTGGTTTCATTGATTATTAGAAGTGCTGGTAGTCTTTGGACTGTGGAAACAGTGAGTTCAAACTTGTCTTACATACTGGGGATATTCCATGTGTGTGCAGACTCATACAGGTCCCAAAGTAATCTGTTTTATCAGTAGGACGTATATGTTGTCCTTCACTAACAGAAGCTAAGTAGATGGGCTGGAGAGATGGCTTAGAGGTTAAGAGCATTGCCTCCTCTTCCAAAGGTCCTGAGTTTAACTCCCAACAACCACATGGTGGCTCACAACCATCTGTAATGGGGTCTGGTGCCCTCTTCTGGCCTGCAGGCATACACACAGACAGAATATTGTATACATAATAAATAAATACTTAAAAAAAAAAAGCTAAGTAGAAAACTTGAGCTAACAAGATAGTACCTCTGTAAATTTGGATGTCTCCCGTCTTAGGACCTTTGTAAGTTGCTGTGTTGTGGCCATGGTTTTGATTAGAAACTTTGTAAGGGCAGAGCCTCCTGTACAACCCAGAAGTAATGGTCACTTTCCCAGAATTGGCTTTATTCACTTTGAATGTTTTACTTATGAATTTTGATGATTGCTTTGTATGAGAATATATGTACTTGGAGAGTTTGAATTTATCCGCATAAGCTACCCATTGACCTAGAGTTTTGTTGTAAGAAATGTAAGCCCAAAGTCTCGTCCAAATGGATCTGGTTCCAGGTCCGTTCGTTCACTTGGGGATTGTTTTCCTCAGTGCTTGTCTTCAGCCACACCGGTAGCTTTGCTCTGTGAGCAGCATTAAGTTTGAGACATAAGGTAATGGTTATTAAATGCAGTGCATGGTGATTTTTTCTTGCTGCTGGGTTTACGAAGTCAAAATTTCACAGGAACCTGAAGAAACAGGAATGAAGGTTTGTCGGGGAGGTCTAAGACTCTGTGCTTTTTCTAACTAGTCTGGCGTGGCATTCCGGCCTACCACAGTGAAGCATTGTGAAAGGGAGGCAGGCAGCAGAGTCACCAGACAGTTGTCACTACCAGCCGTAGAGTGTGGAGCTGAGCCGCAGGGAGGAGGGGGTGAGCTTGCTGACCCTGAAGCCGTGTCACCGTTACTAATGTGTGAGAGGGACTGTACTCGGAATGTGTGGAGACTCAGGCCTAAGGGTTCCTGTATGGCTTATCTGCCTAACTGTGTCTAGCTTGGCAGAATAGGGGCAGTCACAGAATGTTGAAGGTTATAGACTTTAAGGGCAGCTCAGATCACAAAGCAGATTGGTAGAGACAGAAGTCTACAAAGCTTAGGCAGTCTCTAGTCCGTTTGAGGTCTCTAGAGAAAATAGTTTGAATGTTTCTCTGGAGAGTGCTCATTTGCTTTTCCCTCACCTCCCTCCTCTTTTTTTAGTTGAATTTTCTCTAATGACAATCAGAGGCCTGCCAGGATTGGGACTCCAGGCTGGTTCCAGCTCTGTCCCTAGGCCTTTCCAGTACTCTCTCCTTGGAAGTAATGCACCTTATTTAATGTATTTCGCTTTAAAAAAAAAATCAAGTTGCTTGTTTGGAACAAAATGAGATGCTTTTGGCATTGTATCCTACCTGCTTGCTGTTTTTACTCTTAATTTAAAATTTATGCATTGAAGACCAAGTACACTTAAGGAGAAATATGCACTAGAATACCTATTTCCCATCAAGTTTGATGGTTATAATTTTAAAGGATTAAAAACAAAGCAAAACTATTTTGAATGAATGTATGTGTGCTTTTCTTTATTTTGGCAAATTAGTAAGTTTGTGATATGACCGTTTTAAGTGGTTGTGAGAAAATTAAACAGGTATTAGTTTGTCTTTAACTTCATTTGTGCTAATTTCATAGTGAGAAAAGCTTCTGGCTCAATTACATTCTCCGAGACTCTTTCCAGTGGGCCTCAGCTTCATTGCTAAGTACATTCTCCCAAACTCTTTCTAATGAGTAAGAGAGACCCTTCCTACTCAAATAAAGGTCTAGAAGCCCCCTGTTTTTGGCTATCCCTTCTGGATTTAGATTTTTTTTTTTTAAGTTTCTAAGAAGAGATAGAGTAAGCAGAATCCTCTTGTCCTTTGTTCTCTGCAGGCCTTAGAATCATCCACATCTGAATGTGTACAGAGCAGTGTTTTATCCCAAACACTTTTCACCTCTTGAACTATGTCTTCAAGTAACTAATAATCTTTTTGTTTGTTTTGTTCTGTTTTTCTAGACAAGGTTTCTCTATGTAGCCTTGGCTGTCCTAGAACTTGCTCTATAGACCAGAATGGCCTTGAACTCAGAAATCCACCTGCCTCTGCCTCCTGAGTGCTGGGATTTGTGTGTGCCACCATCACCTGGTTGTAACTAATAATCTCATGCCCAGTTACAGTCTCTTCTGCTTTAAGACACATTCTCTGGTTCTCCTGAACATGAACTGTATCTGTTAGGTGGTTTTTTTTTTTTTTTTATTAAGATCCTTCTTGAACTTACAGGGAATAATGACAGTTTTAACTTTCCTTTATGCATTTAGTTTCTTAATCTTTCCCCCATGGTCAATAAATTTGTGGAGAATTTTCAAATTTAAGTTAAAATTCAGTTAAATTTACATTTGTCGTATGCTAAATCTGTTGGATTCAAGAGTGAATCAAGACTAGTTCTACCTTCAGGAAGCTCATCCTCAGGTCACACAGCTGACTCTGTCCTACCTCTAACAGTCTGAAAAGCATTGCACACAAGGAAAGTGTGCACACAGTGGGGAGGGCGGTCAGGTGGGCTTGCTGCGTGAGCAGGAGGAGGGAGCAGCATCCATACAGTCAGAATGCTTTATGAGTAGGTCGAGAGGCTGGAGAATTGCACTTTCTTATGAATTATAGAGTTAATATTCCTGCTAACCTAGGAAATCTTTAGATATCATTTAGACCTCTTTGATAATTAGAACTTCTTGGGGAAATTTCTTCTGAGATATTATTTATTGTTCAACAATAATAATAAGTTGGACCTGTATCACACATATGTCCATTGACATGGAGCAGGAAGGTCAGGGCCCTGGGACTCCAATAGGAGTCTAGAAAGACACCAGAGAAGTCTAGGAGTCTGGGTAGGAAGAATTAAATGGGTGTGTGTCTGCACACTGGTATATTGAAGATCAGCAAATATCCATTGTTAGCATTAAAAAAAAAATCGGGCTGGGTGTGGTGGTGAGGCAGAGGCCGGCAGATCCTGGTCTATATAACATGTTCCAGACCTGGTTTTAAAAAAAATTCAATTTGTAGTCATACCTCATAAGTGAGCAAAGCAGGGACATGCACGTGCTGACTTCTCATTTAAATTCACTCTTCTAGAAAGAGAAAGTGGCTGGGTTGAAGGAAAAAGGAGCCAAGTTTAGTGCTCCCTTGGAGGCAGAGGTAAAAGGATCATTTGAGTCCAGAAGTTCCAGATCGGCCTAGGCAATTCAACAAGACCCCAATCTCAAACAACACAGCAAAATCAGACTGGACTCACGGGCCTGTAATCCCAGAGCTTGGGTGCAGGCTAGGGATCAGGAGTTCAAGGCCATCCTTGTTCGTCCAGCCGCCTGGACTATATAAAAGCCTGTTTCAAAATAAAAACTCCACAAATTATGTTTAGGATTTGGGGGGACGACTCACTTTGGAGCATTGGCTAATGAATCTAATCCTCTGGCTTTTGACCATAAAAGTAGAACACTCAGTGTCTGGCGTGGCAAGAAAACAGTCTGAGATTGAACACCTTGCTTCGGCATAATGTAGCTGGGCAACATTTCTGAAGCCGTGAATCCAAATCTGGGGGGCAAAATCCATGTCTAGGGATAAAATATTCACTCACCTTGAAGAGGAAAGGGCTCTAACGACAGACTTAATCACTGTTCCTGACGCTACCCTCACGACCTAGATCAAGCACCAGATTCTGTGGATTTTCTTCCACGCAGTCTGGCTCACCTGCTCTGTCTACCTGCAGATTCCCCTCGGCCCCGCCCCCTAGCCCTGGCCGAAGCCCCGCCCCCGGAGAGGCGAAGCCCGCCTCACGCCTGGCCCGACCAATCAAGCTCTGCGATCTCAGACGTAGGGTTACGCGCGGCGCCGGGGCGGCCGCGGGCTGAGGTACCGGTTCCCAGCTCCAGGTCCCGGGTCGCGGCTGGGCGGCGCGGCCCGGGCTGCAGCGAGGCCGGGCGGCCCCTCGCGCCCTGCCGCCAGGCCGCCATGCAAGGCTCGGGAGGGAACGTGAGCCGCGGACTGCCGGGAGGGCCGGCCTCCACGGTCGCGTCCGGGGCGGGCCGCTGTGAGAGCGGCGCGCTCATGCACAGTTTCGGCATCTTCCTGCAGGGGCTGCTCGGAGTCGTGGCCTTCAGCACATTGATGCGTGAGTCCGGGACCCCAGCTCCTCCCCGGCCCCGTAGCGGGCCGCGGGCCAGCCTCCCCCCCCCCCAGGGACCCTCCTGCCCGTAGAGTTCCGGCCTGGGGACCGGGCCCTAGGGCTGCGGTGCCTCCCTCTCCCGCGAGACCGTGCTGGGCGTTCGCAGTCTAGAAGGGAGTCCCGGACCCTCACACTCCTCGGCTTATCACGGCTGCTTTGGGCCAGGAGTGCCCCTGCCCCTCGCCGTCTTAGACTTGTCTCTTACCAGATGCCAGCCTAAAACTGACCCCTCTTACCTTGCCATCGCAAATTAAGGGTACCTCACTTTCCGGTACGGACCGAGATCCACTCCCAAAGGTGGCACGGCTCCCAGCCTCCCCTTGGCTCTTAGACCGCACAACCTTAAGTCCCTACTAGTCTAACGCTAGACTCTTCTGATCCTTCTCTCCTGACGTTTGCCCTCTCTGTTGGCGTTTGGATCCCGCACCCACACCCACCTGTAGTGTTCGGGCTGTGCAGTCCGGGTCCCCACATTGCCGCGCGTCCCTAGTCCTAATCCCTCCATTGTTCAGGAAAGATCCTCTCGTACTGCCTTGGTCCCCACGTCTCATTCTTCTTTTTCTTCTCCACCTGTTCAGCTCTATCCCAAGCTTTCCTAATTAAGTTGTATCTGAAGTTTCCTGGCTGTTCTTTCCAAACCATGTTTGTTATTTACAGTCTAAATTTCCTCTTTTTCCGTGAAACTCTGACATCCTGGTTGGCTCGATGGAGAAGGCTATAGTGTCTCAGGATCTCCATGCTGAGTCCCAGAGGCTCTTCTCTGAGAGTTTGGTAGTAAGGAAGGAAGTCTCATTTGGCCCTTGTCCCATGGGCTGGGGTAAGGACCTTGAGTCCCCCCCGGGGGGGTTAGAAGGTTGTGTTGTTTCCCTGATGGGCATCCTCCCCGTATTAAAGGATGGCCTGGCGCATAGGCCTGGGCGTGTCTCAGGGATGTGTTAGAGGGGAGTTGTAGCTAAGCTGTACTGTGGCACTAATTCCAAAACTGATTTGTTCTCAAAACTGTTCTCTGTAGGCAGAATGGGGAGTCCGGCAACATCTGCTCTTCAGTCTGGGAGGAGGGGAGCTCCTGTAGCTGAATGCAGATGTTGGGTTAGCCTTGCTTATCTGTAACAAGAGGTTTCTTTGGGCAAACTCTCGCAGGCTTCAGTTGTCCCTGGAGAGCCCCTGCTCCTGGCCACTCTTTCTGACTGCTTGGCCCTGAACAAGAAGCACCCAACTGTCCATGTGTTTGTCACTTTTTCTTTTCCATCCCTGCTTGCCTTGCCATTTTCTCTGCTCATTCGTTCGTTCCCACAGTAACAGTTGGTGACAACTTAGCCAGACTGGGTCGCTGACAGGTGCACACACTGCTGTGAATGGGCCTTCTTCCTGTTTCGCTTCCTATTCCTTTCTCAGGAATGACAGGTCTCATTTTTATTATGCAAAACCCGAGATTTTGACTGTTCTCCTGGGCTCGATTGGTGCTATTGGTCCGGTGTGCCCCCTCGGGTTTCACACTTGTGATTCCGAGAGTGAGATGTGATCGTGTCAGGGCAGAGTTGCTCACCGATGAGAACTGTGCTGCGGTCAGCGTACGCAGAGTGGCAGTACTGGCCCTGCGAGTCTGCAGGGACACTCTCACCTCCTTACTTCATCTTCAGCGCGAATTTCTGTACACATCCCAGTGGGCTAGTACTTCCTGCGAGCATTTACTAACTGAGAAAGTAGATTCCCGTTCAGGAGAAGGCTCCATGTGGAAGAGGTTCATGAGAGTGGCCGGTAGGCGCTGAGTGATGAACCGGGAGGCCATACCGGGTCATCCTGGACCTATGAAGCAGGTAGAGCAAGCCCAGATGCTGCGACTGCGGTGTGACCAGGAGGTCCAACCCTTTGCAGCACAGTCTTGGCCCTGTTGAAATATAACTGTGGGGCTTTTCCGTTTTGAATAGCCAGGAAGAGGAAGGGATTCCTAAGGGGCTGCCTTACACTGTGGACTGGATTTTTGCTGGAGAAGCGCATCTGCTACCAGCTGTTGGTCTACATCTGCTTTCCTGGTCACAGAATCTGTCTGTCTGAGCTGCTGGAACCAAGGGCCAGCCTTCTGAGCCAGAGCCCAACTGGAAGCCCCTGGGGTAGGGGTGGAGCCACCTTACCGGTACTGTGTCCCTTAAGGCAGTGGAGTGAGTGTCTGTCTGGGTTCTCTCCCAGTTCCGACTACCCGGACCTTACATCCTCGCCTGACCCACTCTTGCTGTAGTACGATACACCCACTTCTCTGCCTGAGAGACTCTGATGTTTCCTCATTCACACTCCTGGTTGCCGTGGATCCTCAGACCCCTGCGTTTATCCTTTCTCTGTGCGTAAAATCACTTTGCCCTCGTTGCTGTGTTTTCTACCCCGTATGTGAGGGTGAGCTTTGTACTAGAGGAAGGATTTAAACATACCTTAATATCACCCGGAAAAACTTTGGGTTCTCACAAGTATTTCTCTCCCTGGTGCTCTGATTGATGTCTTGTGTTGTGTCTGGAAGTTGCAGACTGACTCAGACTAGGTAGTTAAAGCAATTATGCTAGGTTCCGTATGCATCCTGTTCTTCATTCTGTGCAATCATGCAGACTGTTAGAGGCCACCAGCCGCTGGTGGCAGCATCACTTTATGAGTCAAATAGGTGGCCGTCCCAGAGCTTTCTGCTAAGGAGCCCTGTGCAGGGAATGCCCAGCAAACTCAAGCCTGGTTATAGATTGTATAGCCGCTCTGAGTTTTCAGAGATGTTATGAAACTGACTGGGTATCTACATAGAAATACTGTAAGCAAGGAGCTTTGTCATGATCTGCCTGCCCAGCAGTCCCTCTTGTGTGGTGTCTTTGTCTCAGAGTCTGCCTCACTGAAGTCACTCAGACTGGAGTTGCAGCAGAATGTAGCTGAGCAGTTGTGGAGCTCGGCAAACTATTCCAGTGTAGGAAAGCCATCTAGCCGTCAGCCGAAGGTCGGCATTGGCCTGTGTGTGTTGGCTTTTTGGGGGTGCTGACCCCCTAAGACTGTGAGTGCAGAGCACTCTCAAGCTTCCTTCACCGTGCAGTCAGGGTTCTGAGCTGACGTGTGGACACAATTGGCTTTTAACAGAACAAGCATTTTGACAGCTTGTGTAAATGTGCCTGTGTGTTCTAATGTCACAGATAGGGGGACTAGCAAGCTGGTAGAAATGGATCCAGATTGTACCAGCAGGATACTGGTACTGAGAAGTGACAGCTCTTTTCCTGTGACCCAAAGCAAAAATCCCCAGCAGTCCACCAGCTTTAACACCTTAATCTTGGATAAAAGTGTATGTTATTTTCACTCCTGCAGAGCTGGCCTCCCTGTGTGCTCTCTGTACATACCAAGTAGGTGCATTGTCTCTGTAGTCACCTCTCTGTATCCCATTACAGTTTTATCTTTAAAAAATGTCAGAAAAGCAAATGCCAGCCTGCTACCTAGTTTCATAAGTTCACACTTTGTCAAGCTTTTCTCTTTATAACATTTTTCCTGAGCCATTTGAAGAAAAGTTGCTGGCATTACCTGAATACTTCAGCTATCTCCTAAAGGACAGCCCTCCTAAGAGGACCAATAACTCCATATCATCGTCATCTGATATCCACTGCGTGTTCACGTTTCCCCAGATGCCATTTATTTTACAGCTCAGTTTTGAACCGTTGGCTCAACTGCTCAGTGTGGCTTTGCTGTCGCAGTGCTTAGAAAGAGCCTGGGCCTCACCATGACAGGCCAGTGTTCTGCCCCTTGGACACATCTCCAGCCCCGCTGCTTGTGCACACACTCTTGTTTTTTTAGTGATGCTGGCCTTCGGAAGACTCCACTGTGGAAATGTAAAGTGTCCACATTTCACAGGTTTCTGAGTGGCTCCTTGGGCATCTGTGTTTTTCACTGACCCCAGGGCTCCCCAGTTTAGAGCAATTAAATTCATATAAACTTTTTATGTATGAACATTCCTTAAGAGGTGCTGCGGGTCACTGTTAATGCTGTCAAGGCCTTGCTGGGCGGTGGTGGCACACACCTCTAATGCCAACACTTGGGAGGCAGAGGCAGGTGGATCTGAGAGTTCAAGGCCAGCCTGGTCTACAGAGAAAGTTCCAGGACAGCCAGCATTATGTGGAGAGAACCTATCTCAAAACAACCCAAAAAAATCAAGAAAGGCCGGTTACTCCTTGGTTGGAAGTGGGAGGACTCCTCATTTCTCCCTTGTAAAAGTACTCTCGCTTCCATGCTTCCAGAGTGGAAACCTTGTTATTTGGTAACCTTTACCTAGATGTTACTTCCTTGTAAAGAAAGCAAGCTGCCAGGTGGTGGCACATGCCTTTAATCCCAACACCCAGGAGGCAGAGGCGGGCACAGCTGTGTGAGTTCAAGGCCGCCTGGTCTACACAGCAAGTTTCAGGACTGGCTCCATAGCTACTGAGAAACCCTATCTCAGAAAAACAAAACAAAAAAAAAAAGGAAAAAAAAGCTGTACCTCACTGTGAGCTGGGGCTGTAAGGCTGTAAAGGCAGTGTCTCCGGGCACAGCACACGGCACATACCCCTTTCCACTTGGAAAGAGAGAACGTTCTTTTTTCTGTCCAGGCTGTTGTGCCCACTAGGGAAAGTAGTGTGTTGCTGTTAGCATGCTGGTTAGTTCAGGGCATTCATTTCAGGAGACTTGGATTTCTAGATGTTCATTTCTTTGATAGCATTTGTCCAAATGGCATTCTCCCACTTCATTTATAATCAAAATTTATTAATTGGGAGTTGCATGAATTAGGAGACAATCTGAATTTTAAAATAATTTCATCAAATGCATTTTAAAAATTATTAAATACCTCTTGGCCAAGTGTTGCTCTGTAGGGGCCTATAAGACCTCTGCTGCTCTAATGATCTGTTTAAACCCTTTGTAATTAGTATAACATTTCCATGAAGATGAAGCTGCGTTGATGGAGT